GCTGGGGATCGAACTCGTGCTGCAGTGGCTGTGGACAGCTTCATAGTGCTGGGCTTTAACCCGTTGTGCCAGTGGGAGGACCCACTTTGCTTACATTTTCATATAAATTTTATAAGTTCTTTACACAAAAATATTTCTGAGAAGATTGACCAAATAAATCAGATTAATTTGGAAAGAATTCTGTTCTTTATAGTACAGATTCTTCCAATCAATCCATGAATACATGTTTCTCAGGACTTCTTTGATTTCTTTTACTAATGTTCTGCAGTTTTCAGCATTCAGATCCTATCATGTCTTGTTGTATTTTCGCTAATATTTCTGTCTCCTTTTTCTGAGTGTTAATAGGACACGCAAAGAATAGGAATAGAGTTATATTCTATGTATTAAGCCATGTCCTATGATCTTATTAAGTGCAGTTATTAGTTCTACAGTTTACCTGTAGATTGCTTGAAATGTCCTACATAGTTAAGTATGTCATTTGCAGACATGAACAATTTTTTCTCTTGCCCACCTATATGCCTTTTCTTTCTTTTTCCTGCCTTACTGCACTGGCGAGGAGTTCCATTACTATACTGAGCAGCAGTAGTCCTGAACTTTAGGAAGAAATCACTCAGTCGTTCACCATTTTATAGAATATATTTTACAGAAGTATGACTTGATCCATAATATATTCTATAATGACAAAAAATGCTGAGAAAGTCAAATTTTATTCCTGACGTCACCATGCTGAATATAAACTATGAGGAAATATGTACAATGTACCACTTCTAGCTACTTACCTTAGTTTACTTTCTGAACATAAACATAATTTTGAAAAGGCCCACCTTTAAAAATTTTATTTTCTATAGTGGAGTATGAGTGTTTAGTAAGTTATAGAAATGACTAAACACCATCTAAATGAGACTCAAAAAGATGCCCAAACTGAGTCATTCTGACAAAAATATATTTTAAAAATTAAATTCAGTAAAATCAAAACACATCCGTGTAGCTGTTCAGCATTACCACAATGTCCAGCATTAGAAAACTGGGCTTCACAAGTTAGGGTTCAGTCAGTGATTCAGTAAATATTTATTCCATCTCTGTCACTGGCCCTCCAGCTACAATGTGAACACTACAGACAAACCTCCCTCCCCAACTAGGGGTTACATTTTAATGGGGAAAAAAAGACATAAACAAGATACATAAGTAAGCCTACCGTATGGCAGTTTGCGTAAGTGTTCTAGAGAAAAGTAAAACAGAGAATGGGTAAGGAACCCAAGGGTGGGCGTGGGTAGGCATCGTGTTCTAAATAGGATGTTGGGTCGACCACCCCAAACAGCACAAAGGAATACAAATATTAGAATTAGAATGCGCCAGCAGCATGAAAGTCTCATGATATGTTCTTAAATAAAAACCAAAGAATGTATTGATAAATAGAGTATCAATTGTGATTTCATGTACTGAAGTATGGAGATGTGTGTGTGTGTAATATAATGTAAATATAAAAATAGTTGTCAACCAATGATGTTTCTGTTATTTTAAACCATTATGTCCTATGAGAATATTATGTTTTCAGTTTAAAAGGAGTTCACAAGAAACTGAGTGAAAGGTTAGATGAGGGTACAGATAGAATTTGCTTGCTCTGGAAGAATTTTACCTCCAAGGGAGAATCTTCTGTTAAAACAACTTTTAAAAATCACTCACTTTAAAGGAGACTTTATGTTGTTAGTGGTGCTGAGAACAACAGATACACAGTGAGCAAGGACATTGAGGTGACTCTAATGTGTCATAGTTTAGTGGCACATTCAGATTTGATCTAGAACTATTAAGATTGACCAAAGCAAAATGCACTGGCATATCTTACTGCGATCTACATCTTCCTACGTCTTCAACAGATAAGTAAACACACAGACGGTAGAGGAATCCCCTAAAGACGCAAAATGACAGCCCTGAGACCCTTCCAGATGAGACCGTCCCCCTGGGAGTTGAGGCTTAGCCGCCAAGGCAGTTATTACTGTGCTTCTCAGGGCCTCCCTGGGGGTGCAAGGGATGAAGGCGCAGCACTAGGAAGCCGGCCGCAGCCACCGCAGCACGAGTTCGATCCCCGGCCAGGGAGGTGACCCACGTGGCACAGCAGACCTCTCCTGTCTTGCTTGCTGCTCCCCTCAGCAATATATTTGTACCCCAGTTCTTGTATGCATACACAAAGCAATCTTTAAAAAAAAAAAAGTGTTTCTCAGAGAAAGTTTTCATGACATGGCCAAAGCCTGGCATCCCCCAAAGGATGGCTGATCCCCCATGGTGCTGATTCAGAATCCCTAGTGCAAAGCAATCCTTTATCATCAGATACACACATGGCGATGTTGTTAGGAGCACAAATGCCCTGAATATCTTACATTCTTCTCCCCAGGATGCCACTTCCAGTGAATTAAAATCCCAGCAGCCACAAAGCTTTCCAAGTTGAAGCCAAAACTCCATTGTGCTTATTCAGATGTTCTCTTTTGTTCTTCCTTCTTTTTCTAGAATCACACCAGTGCTGGGAGTAAAAACACATTTTATAATGAGCAGGCTTCGTTGTCTAGCCAAACTATTCGGTTAAAATGTAATCTTTGAAAATTCTCAAGTTGCTTGAAAAACAAGCTCAGAGGTGAAATTAAGCAGCTAGCTGGCCCGTGGACAATGAGTTAACAAGTTCTGACTATAAAAGGCCTCACACTCTGCTCCGCAATCCTTCTCCCTCCTGGTTCTTTCAGGCCATCTAATTTTTTTTTTTTTTTTGGCTGATGGTCTGGACACACTGTGGTTGTTTTCAACATAACAGAGTAGTTAGAATTCCGGTTCCTAGGTGACCCTTTGTGTCTTAATATCCCTGTTCTCTTGTGTTTTGTTTTGTTTTGTTTTGTTGGTCAGTAAAACGGTGATAATATTTAACAGGGTTTCTGAGAGGCCAGTGTACCTGAACACGTTAGTGGACACAGAGTACATTCCAGTTCATAGAAACTCAAAAACAAAATACAAAGAAGCGTCTTTATTCTCAAAGGAGTTTTTCGGTTACAGAACACACACACGTGGTTGCCTTGCTTCACCCTCCAGAGAAACACTGTGACTATCGATCTATCGGGCGGTCAGCCTCGCCCACTCGGCTGTTGTCCTAAATGATCTGCTCATAAACAATCGAAATGATGCCTCACCGTTCTGGAAGCTGAATGTCCTAGATCAAGTGCCAGCGTGTCAGGCTCTGCTGTCCAGAATGTGCCAGACCGAGGCCAGTGAGCTCCCTGGAGTCCTGGTCATGAGCACAGCTCCCACTCATGAGCGCTGCGCCTTCATGACCTAAACACCTCCAACACGGTGGCGTCACCCTGGAGGAGGAGGGAATGCCAGCACTCTGTCCCTCGCAGTGCGGAGATGACCTGTCGCGGGTCAAGTGGGTCCGAGCCCAGCTTCTGCGACTGTTTCCCATGTTTATGCACACTGGAGCTCTGTCTGTCTTGGTATATATACACCATGAGTACGCATTGCGCAAAATTCCTTCCTTGTGAAGGGTCACAAAGGAAGACTTTCTTCTCCCTTTGTCCCCTTGGGGACAAAGTCCTCTTGGGTCTCCATTTTTGACTCTTCAGTTAATATTTATATGTAGGAGTTTTCCGTGCAAGTGCTTTCCCGGACACAATCAATGTGATATGAAATTTTAGACTAGAAACAATATACGTAATATGTTGAATTGTAGGGTCGGTCTAAGAAACCAAAACAGTTCGATATAGATAATGAGCTGTCTGGGATCACTGGAAGGGCTGGAAGGATCCCTGGCCAGGGAGTGACCACAGGGTGCAGCAGACGTCTCCTGTCTCCCGCTGCTTCCCTCAGCAGTGTGTTTCAGTCCATCTACTTGCTCTGCTCCCCACAGTGTCTCTGGTGAGTCCTCTCACCGCCCCCACCCTGCACCTCTGGCCTGTACCCCAGTTCTACATGCATAAATATTAAAAAAAAAAAAAAGGTAGCATGTCTAGAGCACAGTCAGAGACTGACCTGTCAGGGAAACAGCTGTAGCTGTGCCCTCGTCAGGGGGCTGCTTCAGCCAAACTGCTGGCACTGCCCCGGTAGCTCCCGTCACAGGGCATGAGCTGATGTCCTGACACCGAACACCAGGATCCGCAGCTTCTGGACACCCCAAAGCCAGAAACTGGAGACTGGGCTGCAGCTGTGGTAAAACACCGTCCTTAAAGGCCACAGCCTCGCTTGCCGGCGGAAGGAATCAAAGCAGCAAGAGAGGTCTCCTGTCTCGCTCCCACCTCCCACAGCTCGCGAGCGAGCACTTTATTGGAGAGAAACAGCTCCTGTTCAGAACTCTGGCTCAGAAGGGGGCTGGGAAGTGCAGCGTTTGGCCGTCACGCTTGTGGGCAGGAAAGCGTCCTGACAAAGGTGATGGAGGCAGCCGGAGGCACAGCACTCTTTATTTACTTTTTTAAAGATTTACTTGTTTATGCACACAACTGGGGTGGTGATCCTTCATCCACTCAGTGACCAGAGATGCCCATAAATAGAGATGCTGTAGCCTGAACTCTGCTACACAAATTGGGGGAGGAGAGGGAAGACTCCATGCAGATCGGGGCCATGGGACAGAGTGAAGTCACTGTTGGTGTGGATTTGTGATGGTGACGTCTTTGAAAGTCATATGGGGGGAAATGAACAACTGTGAGACAGACAAGACTAGCCTGTTTGCTGAAGAAGTTCCATGTATTCCAAATACTTGAATGATTTAGCAGCTTCATAGCGCTCCGCTTCAACCCGCTGCACCCTCCGGGAGGGCCCAACACCTTTTATTTTTAAAGAAAAATTATCTATCTGCACAGAGGTTTTATACTTCCCATTTCTTGTTGCCCTTTATGAGTTTCTTTCCCTAATAGCCTAGCAGCAGCTAAGGAGACATTACTTCCCCGACAACTACCTTCTAATACCAGGGAAGCCATGAGAAATGTGCATAAACTTACACCGTGATCCCGATTTTTTTCAGACTCCCATCCATCATGACAGCTATTCGTCTAAGAGAGTTTCTTGAACGCCGCCCAGTGATCCCATCAAGGTAGTGTTGACCTAGACACAGACCAGACCCTGGGCAGTCAGAATGGCTCGCCTGGCACTCCATGATGGAGAGACGATGTCGTCCGAGAATTCTAGTGACGTTTCTTTGGGTTTAGGGGACGTTTGTAAACAAAATCCACCTCATGGCAGAATCGAAGCAAGTATGCAACACCAATTTTTTTTTAAGATTTATTTATTTATGCAAACAGAACTGGGGTACAGGCCAGAGGTGTAAGGGTGGGGTGAAAGGACACACCGGAGACAGAGTGGGGAGCAGAACAGGCAGGTGGACGAAGTCCACTGCTGAGGGGAGCAGCGGGGAGACAGGAGAGGTCTGCGCGCCCTGGGGGTCACCCCCACGCCTGCTGAAGCAGCCAGGTTCGGAGCGCAGGGGCACCCCTTCACTCCGCTTGGGGTAAGACACACCACACCTTTGTCTCTGCAGCGTGGGTGTTGGCCACAGAGACACAAACTAGGTAGGAGTCTCACTCTTCCTCAAATAGTTCTGTGGGCCAAGAATAACAAGCCCTAGACACATTTTATGGTGCTAAACTTGTGGCTGAGCGATATGAGCTCAGTGCCCGAGAGCCCTCGCCCGGCCCTCCTGCGGCCTCACACGTTCCACAGCGCTGAAGCTGGGGCAGGAAACCTCACCCAGGAAGCGACTTGCCCACAGCCCCGGTGAGCTCATGTATTTTCACAGCCTCGTGCTTATTTTAATATGTCTTTATTTTAGTTCAAGTAGTTAAACGGAAATCAACAAAGAATTAGAAACCAGAGACATCCTAGGGGGGGCCAAGAGGGGAACAGGATGAAAACGGGTGGGACGAGCACACGGGCCTGGGGATGGCGCAGGGGTGACTGGGTGGTGGGACGTCCACGGGCCACAGCCGACACGGAGACGCAAACATTGCACAAAAATGAAGAATGATGTAAAAAAAAAAAGCATTAAATACCCCCCTCCCCATGTACTTACTCTGAAGAACTATTTAGTTATTTTGAACAATATTTGTTCCCAGGAATTACTGCGGAAATGCACAACAGGCTGCTTTGTTCCTAGACACTTAGAGCTTTCTTCTCAGGGAAATTACAGCGCCCCCCCCCCCACGGCCACCCCAGCTCCCCTGTTCTGAATCCCAACAGGGTGGAAGCAAGGTGGAGCGATGAGGCTCCAGCACTCTGACATCCCCCACGAGCCCTGGCTGTCTCTGTGTTGCCGGGCTGTGTTCTTTCCACTCTGGGCCCATGGCACTGTGGCCTCATCTCCTGGGAGACGGGAAACAAACTTGTCCTGTCTGGGGCTGCCTGGAGCTCCATGGAAGCAAGTCAGAGCCTCTGGCCTGGTCTGAGTCAGCCCTGGGGGTTTGGGTGGAGCAGCCCAGCCAGCCTGGGGCCGCCCAAGTCGCAGGGGGCCGGCTCAGCCCTCTGGGGCGCCCCGACAGCCCACGCCCACCCCGGCCAGGCAGGCAGCCCGCACTCGATTGGGTGGCGCTGCGTGCCCACTCGCTTCCCGGGGAGCACCGTGCCACCTTGTGCTCTTCCGGCCTTTGCAACAACAGTGGGGCTGATCCTCCAGCGGGCTCCTCAGCTCTGCTTCCAGGATGCCCACCCCGGCCTCTCCGCCGCCCAGGGACCCCTGCTTCTCCCCGCTTCTCCGCAACAAGCCCCCTTGCCCGGTCTCCAGAGTGAGCTTGGGCCGTGACCCTCTGTTGCATAAAAGGCTGCAGCTGAATTTTGTGTATAAAGTTCAGACTTGTTGCAAGGACGGGCTTGAGCTGCGCCTGCCTCTGGCTCTGAGCTCCTCCCCCCCAGCCCTTCCTTTAATAGACCTGGCTCTTTCGGACCCTCTCAGGGGCCCATCCCCCTGACCCCCACCCCCCAGCTCTGGGGCCAGCTTCCCAGACAGCTCTCCTCAACCACCTGGCCAGGCGGGGGCTCCCCGGCCGCCTCTCCTGTCAGTCCTGTTCTGGCCTAGCCTTTCTGTAGCTTCCAGTCATTCTGTGTGTCCCTGTGTGTCTGGCCCCCTGGGACAGCAGTCACCACCTCTGCATCCTTCTGCTGACTGCCTGCAGCTCAGCTACTCTCCACGGAAACTGTATGAGCAAAGGAGGAAACTGAGGCCCCGAGTGGCTAAGTGACGGTCCCAGCCCCCTCGCAGGGAGGAGCCAGCGGAGGCGAGAGGCTTCGGGGGGGCGAGAGGCTTCGCCAGAGACACAGCGGGGAGCAGAACAGGCAGGCTGACGAAGCACACTGCTGAGGGGAGCAGCGGGCGGGTCAGGAGAGGTCTGCCGCGCCCTGTGGTCGCCTCCGGGGCAGGCGGGGATCGAACTCATGCTGAAGGGGCTTTAGCTTCTCAGTGCTGCGCTTTAACCCGCTGCGCCACCAGGGAGGACCCTCTTCCCTGGAATTCTTAGAATGCCTACCTAGTGCTCAGGGTCTGTGAGTGACCCCCAAAGACAGACCCCCGCCCCCCCGACCTATAAAGCCTTCTTCCCAACAGCCCCTCCTGGTGTCTCCTGTCCTGAGGAACAGCACAGCTCGTCAGCCGTTGCTTGAAGTGCTTATCCGCTCTTACTCAGTCCTCCCTCCTGAAACATTCCTCACACCCCAACCATGTGGCTCCGAGCATCATCGCGTCCCTTGTAAACGGCCAGAGTGGCCATCTAAATAGTCTTTCTGGTCCTCCCTGGGGGCCCAGGGATCAAGTCTCGACACCATCACCACAACAGGCCGAGTTCAATCCCCGGCCAGCGAGTGACCCCCAGGGCCCAGCAGACCTCTCCGGTCTCTCCGCTGCTCCCCTCAGCAGGGTACTTCATCCATCTGCCTGTTCTGCTCCCCGCTCTGTCTCTGGTGAAGCCTCTCATCTCCCCACCTCTGGCCCACACACCAGTTCTGCACAAAAATTTTCAAAAATAATAAAAATAAACCACCTTTCTACTATAGTCAAATTAAATTTGTTTACCTCATTGCCCCCAGGTGAAAAATCTTCCTCAGATAAAGACTGTATCACATCATTAGTCTTCTCTAAAGCCCTATAAAGGTTTTTCTAATGATCTGCACCAGTGATTCTCAAACTTTTGATGCAGCCCCCCCATCTTATTGTGAAAAAATAAACAAGGATATTAAATAAATAAAAATCAGAGCCTCACAGCCCATTCCTCTCCTCAGCCAGGGTAAGCGTCCCTCCCCATGTTTACAAGCATTTTCTGCTAACCTATCACAGGACTTCTTTAATGTTAGCCCTATATTTATTTATTTAATATTTAGCCCTATATTTTCAATTAAGTCATTTAAAAAGATAATAATGTGAACACCTACTTCATGATTTCCTGGATTTGGTATCTAGTTATCACTCTGCTATAAATTTTATTGTCTTGGCTTTTCTTTTATGCACAAAAAAATATTGTGAAAATTTGCAGCCATATCACGAGTGGAAATAATCGTATAAGAAACTTCCATTTACACTTCTACAGCGACCAACATTTGGGTTTTATACATCCTCTTAATTTTTCCCCTGATATTTTGAACCTGTTACCTGACATGCGAAACATTTCCTTAGATCCTGGAAAGCCAACCCTGAAAATCGGGCAAGAAAAGACATTTCCATAAGAAATTCCAAGACTTGCAGGAGCTCCGTGTCAAGAACTAAGGACAAGAACCAAATATGTTTTCATTATTTCACAGCTGGTATTCATCTAGAAAAAATGAAAAGTAATTACAGTCATTGCTTTATTCTTTCCCGCCTTACTTTTTCCTACTAGTGTATTCATTGCTCATCAAGGAAAAGACATCAAAGGCTATCTCCCTGGGCAGCTGGCACGGGTGCATTTTGATTACAGTGCCAAGAGACCTCCCAGGTAAGACACCTTCTTGAATGCCAATTTTCAAAAATTTCACTTAAGTTAGAATGGTGTGTAAGAATACACAGTTTTAAATAATAACAATGACAATAATACTTTGATGCATAGACAGCATTTGGAGGGATATACACCAAACTATTGATAATGTTTTTTTTTTTTTTTACGAGTGATAAAATTTTAGTATTGTGTATGTGGTTTTTTTAAGATTTATTTATTTATTGGTACAGGCCAGAGGTGCAGAGGCAGTGGGAGGATTCACCAGAGACAAAGTGGGGAGCAGAACAGGCTGACTGATGAAGTCCACTGCTGAGGGGAGCAGCGGGCGGGTCAGGAGAGGGCTGCTGTGCCCTGAGGGTCACCTTGGGGCAGGGATCAAACTCATGCTGAAGTGGCTTTAGCTTCTTAGTGCTGTGCTTTAACCCGCTGCGCCACCAGGGAGGGCCCCAGTATAGTTTATATTTTTTAATCTTTTTCTCTATTCTCCAGATTGTCTCCATTCAGCTTATATTACTTAGCAATAAATATAGAACGTTATGAAATCAAAGAAATGTAAGAAACATGAATTTAAAGTTTCAACTTGTTCAAACAACTCAACCTTTCTGAGGCTCAGTTTCCCTCTTGGTAAAATTATGAATTTGACCTAAATTAATGTCTGTCTTTCTGCCTGTGGTTTTAACAAAGGGAAAAAGCAAGTACTTGAACAGTATTTTCTCGTTTGTGGAGCCTGCAATCCACAGTATTTAAAACAACAACTTGAGTGCTTCTAAAATGTTTGAATTGGACAATTTCCATAACTTCTCAGTATCAGTTGCCTCTTCTGTTAGATAAAAGAATCAATGTTAAATTCCAGAACACGGCAAGAACCTCACATATTGATTGCTATTACTCTGTGTACTATTTTATAAATATTTTTACATATTTGATAAATGTCCCTTCTTCTATTAATAGCCTTTGATAGAGTTAACTTCTGAGTATCTACCTAGAAACTCAATACATGATCAGACTAGAAGGAACATTAGTTGTAGTTCTGATCCAATGACTTGACTAAGACATAGGCCAGAGAGAAGACAAGTCTTGCCTGAGATACAGTTGGTTGGTAAAGCAGTGTCTGGAATCTACCCACATTTTCTGATTCCTAGGTCAAGATTTTTTGGTTTCATCCAATTACGTACTTTGGTTAAGCTCTGGTAGGGCAGCTCTGTCCTCTGCCAGAGGGCAGACAAGAAAGGAAATGCCAGAAACCCACACAAGGCGGTTTGTGGCAATTTTAGTGTTCTGTGGACTCTGACAAACCCGTCAACTCCAATGCCTTATACAATGTGTCACTGGGAGCACTCAGTGGGAGCACCAGAGGGTGGCTTGGAAAAAGGGAGCTGGATTCTCCTGTTGACATCTCTGATGTCTTAAGTTGCTGACACAAACATTTAAAATATATTAGTACCTGTTTTTGGATAAGTTGTACAGCAAGTGTATATTTTCACAGCGTGTGGAGATATTCCATCATTTTGTTTTGGTATTCTCTATCTTACCCCCTAGAGCATACTCATCTAAATGGGGGTACAGCGAAGTTATAGCTGATTTCAGTTTCATCAAGCACTGAGATACACCATAGTGTTTGGTTGGGGCAAGAGAAAACAATGTTTTCTTGAGGAAACCGAGCATTGGGTGAATAAAAAACTGCAATGGGAAAGGGTATTGAGACATCGAGAGTGTGGGACGTAGCCAGGCATGAGGAGACGTAGTGGAAATTTTGATGCCGGTCACCTTCTGTGATTCATGATAAAAGGGTGTGAAAGGAAGATCCGGGAAATGGAAGCCCTAGGCCATCTATAGGCAACTTTTTGAAGGCTGGCTGTGAAGATATGGAGTCTTGTCAAAAAGTTCCTGGTAGCCTCACGGCTGCTTCTAGGGAGTAGATTCCAGCTAGTGAGAAAATTTCAGTGCTTCTTGTGGGTATTCGGCAGGTTATTTGTGTTTCCATTTAGACCTCTCATCGACCTGACAATTCCACCCAAGAGACAAATGCCGTATCAGCCGCAACTAGACCAGAGAACTCTCATTCAGTATATTTCTTTCCGAAGACATTCAAAGCCTTCAGAATCATGGTACAAAGAAACTTCTTATCAGAGAGACTATTCCCTGCCGTTTTACCAGATTGGTAAGTGAGAGGACTCTCTCCTCACTGCCTGGCCTCACACGGGCCAGTAGGCCTCACAGGCCTCTCCCACAGATCTGCCTCGGGGACAGTCTCCTGGGTCACCCCTGGGGCTGGGAGGTAAGGACAGCCTGAATGCTGCTTCCCTTCTCCCTTCCCAAGTTCCCTGAGTAAGAGCCGTTAAGGATGAAACGACATAAATGTCTTGGAAGCAGGATCAAATCTGACCTCGCCTCTCAGCCTCTTGTCACTTGATGAGTTCATTATTGTGTTTAAACACAATGTTGAGGGAACTTTTCTTCTCATTCCCCTACTTTATTTTTGATGACAATAATTTGATATAGTAGACGTGTTTGGAAAAATGATACGTGTCCGAAGTATAATGCTACACTGCAGCACGTGCACACAGCACCCACGGGGCTGAGGCTCCCCAGCGTGACTGGGGCATGCACAGGGACACCAACGTGACCATCACCTGCATTCCTGTATTCACTGTGCCTTGAATCATAGTGAGAAAAATGGAACGCTTCATTAATAGACTTTCAAAGTGAGTAACCCTCATGTTCCTGGGACTCACTGTGTGATAGGCACTGTCTTGCTCTCGTAAAGGCTCTGAGGTAAGTGTCATTATTTTCCCTGTGTTACGGTAAGAGAGATTATCACCTCACACCAAATCACCCTGTGACAGGTAGGAGTAGAATTCAGACCCAGGCCATTTCCAAGATTTGTGCTTGACTGTGAAGTTATACTGAATGTCACTTGTACTATTTATTGAATAGCCTTATTTTTATTTTTTAAAGATTTATTTATTTATGCATACAAGAGTTGGGTGCAGGCCAGAGGTGCAAGGGGTGAGAGGATTCACCAGAAACACGAGGGGTGAGCAGAACTAGCAGATCTACTGAAACACACTGCTGAGGGGAGCAGAGGGGAGACAGGAGATGTCTGCTGCGCCCTGTGGGTCACTCCCTGGCAGGGGATTGAATTCCTGCTGCAGTAGCTGTTGACATCTTCATAGAGCTGTGCTTTCACTCCTTAAGCCAGGGAAGGAGAATAGCCTTATTTTTATTTAAGAGGTAGGGTCTGCTATTCTTTCTGCACTCTCCAAAAGAAAGACCTATCCCCTGAGGCCCAGACCCCAAGAGGAGATAACAGTAATCAGGAAAGATAGTCACTGCACAGGAAAAGGTCTGAGGAGAGCTGAGCCAGGATTGGGGGGTGGTCCCAGAGGATGTCGGAAAGGAAGTCAGAAATCCCCCGGAGGAATGTGGAAATTTGGGTGAGAGGTTAAAAAGCAGAGCAATTCTGGGAGATCAGAGAAGGTCGGAGCAGGTCAGAACCTGAGAGGAGACGGAGCTGGGTGCAAAGAAGGAGGCTAGGAGCTGAGGTGAAGGTCAGTTAGGTAAAGAGGTGCTGGCCAAGTGTGGGTGGTAGGTATGGAGCCCCAGAGGGGTTTGGGAGGGCCGCATTAAAGGAAGCAGTGGCAGGAGGAGGACATAGTTTAGTCTGTCCTTGCAGAATTACTGGTTTTAGTAGACGCAATTCAAGTGGGGCTCTGTAGACGAGAGAAAATACAGGACTGGGATGTGGGCGAACAGATAAGGGACAACAGGGTCAGAGTCCCTACTCAGAGAGGTCTGAGGGCTGACTAGGAGGCAACTTATGTGGGTTGATCATGCTCCCCTCACTGCATCCCTGCTTGCGTGCTGATTAGCTGTCTATGGTGCAGTAACAACTTATTTCAAAATCTAATGGCCTAACACATCGCTGATGATTTTTACCTCATGGGTTCTGTGCGTTAGGAATGTGAGATCTGCTTAGTTCTGTCTCAGGCCATCTCTGGGGATTTCAGTTCGATGCCCATCGGGCGTCAGTGCTGAATCGCCTGAGGGTCTGACTGGGGCTGGAGAAGCCACCTCCCAAGTTCTCACTCAGAGCTGGCAGTGGTCACTCACATGATGGCTGGAACTGGGCCCCTCATGCCTGTCCAGGTGGGCCTCTCAATGGGGTTGCCATGTGCCAGATTGAGCAGGCCTGGATGCAGTTGGGATCTTCAGTGCTTTTTATGACCCAGCTCAAAAGTCCATACTATCACTTCTGATTATCCTGTTCATCACACAAGCCAGCCCTGAGGCAGCGTGGACACCAGGGGACACGAATCGTTGGTCCATTTGAAAGCTGGCAACCATGAGATGAGTTAGTCATTGACTGAATCCCACTGTGAGCTGGGCTGTCCGCAGAGGATACAGGCACAAGGGTAGACATGATACCTGCCTGCATGGAGCTGACATTGGTGGGGAGTTATCGGGAGTAAGACAGGAATTTTTTTTAAATGATAGATGGTCATAATGCTGTCAGAGAAATATGCAGGGAGTTGATCTGGCTCAGGGAGGCTCCTTTTAATAGTGTAGTCAGAGAAAATCTGGGTATAATTTTAGCTGAAACTTAGAAAAGAAGAATGAGTCATGTAAAGAGCATTTCAGGCAAAAGGAACAGTAAGTGCAAAATCTTGAGTGCTGAAAAGAGCTTGGCATATTTGAGGAACAGAAAGGAAGTGAGTTGTAGTTTGGTGGGTAGTCAGTGAGGGCGAGGGTGGTAAGGTGACTGATTCTATGTGAAGAGCAAAAGGAAGATTTGGAGAAAGATTTTGAACAGAGGTGTGACATCAGTTGTACTGTGAAAACATCACCCTGGCTGCTAGCAAGCCCTGGGAGGGGAGCGAGAGAGGAGGCATCAGACCAGCCAGGAGGCTACTGAGTAGCTTAGGCTGGAGATGATGTGGCTTGGACTGGCAGGGAAGAAGAAAAGAGAGGAATGGATTTCTATGATATTTTGCAGGAGGCATCAATTGGATCTGGATCTGTTTGGTACTGGTCCATTGTCAATCATTCATACTTAATGCGCCATACTTAATGCATCAAACTTAGCATCTCTCATTAATAAGTTAGAGTCCACTTACATGTCAGTCCGTGTGCTAGTGTTTGGAAACAGCACGTGAAGCAAAACTAGCCATGAGATTTCTATACTCAAGGAGCTGTGGAGGGGAAATAGCATAGAAGTAACAGTAAAATTTTATCTGCCATTGATCATGCTATGAAATAGAGTTTATGTGGTGCTGTAGAAGCACAGGTCAGAAGAGGAACTGAAAGGTAAGCAGACAGGGGAAGAAGAGCTTCGCAGAGAGCGAAGCCTGTGCAAGGCCATGTGGCAGGACTGTGCTATGTTGGAGGAACTAAGTAAGTGTCTGGAGCACAGATGTCCACAAAAATCATGGAGTAGGACATGACTGGAGAGACAGCATGGAGAGACCAAGGAGAGCCCTATTTTCAGGTGTTTTTGTCTCTAGACTGATCATTATGGGAAACCACTGAAAAGTTTTAAGGAGAGTGCAAGCGAACTGATTAAAATTGCACCTTAAAAATATTACTCCGACCCTCCCTGGCGGTGCAGCGGGTTACAGCACAGCACTGAGAATCTACAGCCACTTCCGCATGAGTTCGATTCCCGCCTGCCCTGGAGGTGACCACAGGGCGCGGCAGACCTCTCCTGACCCGCCCGCTGCTTCCCTCAGCAGTGTTTCCTTGATCTGCCTGTTCTGCTCCCCACTATCTTGGATGAATCCTCTCACCCTCTGAATCTCTGGCCTGTACCCCAGTTCTATATGAATAAATAAATAAATAAATCTAAAAAAAAAAAAATATTACTCCACGGAGGGAGAGTGAGAGGAAGGTGGGTAAAGGCCAAATTAGTCAGGAGTCCATTGCAGTGACTCACATGGCTACGGCACTAGAAGAGCTTTGAAACATCTCGATGCCCGTGCTATACCTAATGCCAACTAAATTAGAATTTCATGATTTGGGGAGAGGGGTTTGGCTCATCAGTGATTTTTCAATCTTCCCAAAGTAATTCCATTGTATAACCCAATTGGGAAACATTTGTTTTTGACAAATGATGACAGGTGGTAGCCGTAAAGGGAATTAGATGCATAATTAAAGTAATCCTTGAAAATCAGATAGATTTGAGAGATGCTCAGGTGCTAATTATTCTGTAAATAATCACACGGAAGTTCGGCCTGCTAGAAACCTAACAGAGAAATGTTACAAATTTAAGTGTTAATAGAGAAAAGAGAGGAATTGAGTCAAGTATTTGTTCGAGTCAAGAAACTGGTTCTTTGAAGAAGTCTTTGGGGAAAAGTTGTTTGCAAAATCAGATTAAACAATATTAAGTTGCTTATCAATGTGTAGGGCTGTTTATCATTCTTCATGATCAGAATTTAAGAGCATAGCATATCCATGCTATCAATTAGCAATGATCTGAATTTTATGTTCAATTCTTATTTCTTACTTGGGAGTTGTTGATGAAGACATTCATATAGGCCATGATAGAGGTGGTTATTGTAAAATGTTAGCTATCATTATCATCACCATCATCAATCAAGAATAAACATGTATTAAAATAAATACTTGTAAAAAACTATACAATATAATTCTGTCTTCTATAAGGAGAAAGCTCTAAAAATAACTGCTTAAAGCAATAATCATGTATAATGAAAATTGTCTTTGAAGACTTCTTAAATTGTTCAAAGAAGGTGGTGCTATTAAATGCTATTGAATCATTTAAGTATTTGGAATACATGGAACTTCTTCAGCAAACAGGCTAGTCTTGTCTGTCTCACAGTTGTTCATTTCCCCCCATATGACTTTCAAAGACATCACCATCACAAATGGTGACTTCACTCTGTCCCATGGCCCCGATCTGCATGGAGTCTTCCCTCTCCTCCCCCAATTTGTGTAGCAGAGTTCAGGCTACAGCATCTCTATTTATGGGCATCTCTAGTCATTAAGTAGACTAAGGATCATCACCCCGTTTCTTGTATTTTCTCAGAATCCTTACTACTGAATCCACCTGGGTAAAAATGTGCTTAGTCAGTTCTACTGTTTAGGATCACTAAGAGGTGTTGAATAAAGTTCCTTACATTGAAACTTTTAAACTATTTAATATATTTCCCTGGAATACAATTGTCATCTTCAAGATCAGAGTTGTCAGATCAAATCCTTACTGGTTACAGAAAGGATCATGCTTAGGTATTTTTTTAAAACATGAGTTTATTTTTACATCATTTTGTGTCTTTTTCCATCTCAGTTGTAATCCCCATGGATTCCCATCACCAAATCACCCGTGTGCCATCCACCATAGTCCAGTGCACTCTCCCCACCCCCATTTTTGATCCCGTTCCCCACTGCACCCCCATAAAATGTCTCTGGTATATAGCTGTTCATTATTATTATTATTTCCCCTGGCCCTTTCCCCTCCTTCTATGAGTGAAACCATCCGGTATTTTTCTTTTTTTCTGGCTTATTTCACGACATGTTTAGGTTTTTTAAATCATTTGGAAAAGAGATAGCTCTTCTGGTCCTACTCCTGGGTTAATGAAATATTATAAATTCTTAGTAACAAGAAATATTTCATTCTTTCAATGCTGTTGAAGTGCTGTGGAAAACATAAACAGAGCAGTGAAAAAATTTGTGACTTTGAGGTCTCATAATCCTAGGTCAAATGTGAGGTCCACTTCTTACAAATTCTGTAGTTTAGAAATTAGCTAATCTCTTGGGCATTGTGATAATATCAGTGGGCATCTGAGGGTTACCATGAATATATGCTACCATGGAAACCCTCCAGTCTCTTTTCCACTGAGTGTGGAAGCAATGATTGCTGCATTCAACCCAAGCCCTCCCTGATCCTGTGTTTACATAAAGCAGAAGTGTTAGTGACTCCACACAAGAAGTCACAGGACATGAGGGAACTTCAGATGATTTGAATTTAGAAATGATAACGACCACAATTTGATAGTCACCCACTTATAATGATGACTGAATGGGCTTAGGGGTCTAGAATTAGGATGTCAAAATGCAAATCTGATTTCATTTTATTTCCATTTTGGTACATTGGATGTCTCCATTGATTTATTCCTTTGTCTGAAACCCATAAATGATTTTATATTTTATATAATTGTTGAAATGACAATGTGTTAAAATTAAGGAGTTGTCTTAGAATAAATCATTCATTTCTTTTAAATTACAGATTGGAGCCAGAAATTAGCCACGGCTTCATCCAATCCTCGACCACTTAAATCACTGCCAGAGTTCTACTGCTGTGAAGAAAGGTGGCCTTAAAAGCTTAAAAAATAAAATAACCATGGTGTCCGAACAAAATATCTGGCATTCTTATGGACCCAAACAACTTCAGTTAAATATGTACCCGAAGACCTACAACTCCATAATATTTATAAATTACCGAATGCTTTTCAGACCAGGCCATTCCCTGGGCATGGAAGTCTCCGTTCCTTGAGGCGTGTTCAGCGATGGCTCTCACAGATGTCCTTGCAAGGCGGAGCTAAGCCACCAGCCTGCTCCTCCTTCACCCCCTTTGCCCAGTAACGGTGTTACATCCCTTCCACCTTTACGCCCTTTGCACTCTGCTGTAGCCTTTGCCTCTCTCTTGTCCTGAATGTGCAGATTACTTGTGGGTCTTCACACCTATTCTGGGCATTTCTTCCTTCCTGGGCATGCCTATGACTTTCTGTTCCCCAGGATCCACGGCACGTTCGAGTGACCTAATTTCTCAAAGAAGCTCTCCCTGTACTTCCCTCCTGGCTTTCGATTGTGTACTGTGTGCGTTGGCTGTAGCCCTTTCTCCCTGGTAGCTACAGCTCTTCATTTGCCTTGCCATGTTTTCAAGCAATGCCCATTTAACTTTTTTTTTTTTTAATGCATACAGAACCGGGGTACAGGCCAGAGGTGCAGGGGGTGAGAGGCTTCACCAGAGACAGAGTGGGGAGCAGAACAGGCAGTGACAAAGTACCCTGCTGAGGGGAGCAGCAGGCTGGTCAGAGAGGTCTGCTGCACCCTGTGGGTCACCCCGGGGCGGGGATCCAACGTGTGCTGAAGTGGCTTTAGCTGCTTAGTGCTGTGCTTTCCCCCGCTGCGCCATCAGGGAGGGCCCCCATTTACCTTCTATGCTAGCTAATTTTTCAAGTTGGGGAAAACCGGGGAGAGTGCCTTGTCAGTCCTTCATGTAGCTCCACACAGGTTTAGACAGAAACACACAGTAACTTGATGGGGTGTGCTCTGCTCTCTTCCCACTACTGGGGACAGAATCTGTACAGCTTAGTCACATCCCTGTTTGTGGGATGTACACTTCAAGATGGCCACTGAGCTGGGGAGGGAACAAGCAAGGGCAAATTAAAACACTGTAAAATTTTCGTACTGTTTTTAATTTACCTAGTTCCTGATTTAGTGTTGCTGCAAAAGGCATGAGTTTATCTTTTTTGATCACTGAGTAATATTCCATTGTGTATATGTACCACGTCTTTTTAACCCAGTTATCTACCTTTGGGCATTTGGGTTGTTTCCATGTCTTTCCAATTGAAAATTAAGCAGCAATAAACATGGGGGTGCAGGTGTCTTTTTGAATCAGTGTTTTTGTGTCTTTTGGGTAGATACCTGGGAGTGGGATTGCTGGGTCACATGGAAGCTCCATGTTTAGCAGTTTGAGGAACCTCCAAATAGTTTTCCATAGTGGTTGTACTAGTTCGCATTCCCACCAGCAGTGCGTGAGTTCTTTTCTCCACATCCTCGCCAACATTTGTTGTTGCTAGTTGTTTGAAGATGTGCCATTCTCACTGGGGTGAGGTGGTATCTCATTGTAGCTTTAATTTGCATCTCCCTTATTACAAGTGATGTTGAACATTTTTTCATAAGCTTGTTGGCCATCTGCATTTCCTCTTTGGAGAAGTGTCTTTTTGGCTCTTCTGCCCATTTTTCGATGGGGTGGTTTATTTTTGTTGAGCGTCATCAGCTCTTTGTGTATCTTTGTGATCAGTCCTTTGTTACTAGTATTGTGTGAGAAAATGTTCTCCCCATCAGTGGGTTGTCTGTCTGTTTTGTGTAATGTCTCTTTGGCTGTACAGAAAAATCTTAACTTGATGTAGTTCCAGCTGTTTAATCCTTTCCTTCACTGTCCTTGCTTTGGGTGTTATTGTTAGGGATTTTAGTGAGGACACACAAATTTCTTCATCCTTTCACCCATCACTGGGCTATAAACTGATTATTTTGCCCACATTTCTGTTAGTTGTCATGTTCTTCTTTGTGTGCGTGTGTTATCAGTTATCTTGAAATGGCTTTTAATAGTTTGGTTTTTCTCAGGTTAAAAAAAACAAACATGATTCTAGTACTGGATGGTGTCACTAATATGTGAAATGTAGAGAAATCAAACTAAGGATCAGGTAAACACAAACTTAAAATCTAGCCCTTGAATGTTGACTATAGAACTGAAGCATGCAGAGGAGGAAGAGGAGGGAGGGTGGGAGGGGTGGGAACAGAGGAAGGCCCAATGGGCTTGGTGGACACTCGCAGAAATTTGCATTAAGGTTTGTGTGTGTTGGCGGGATCAATTAAACACATGTAAATTTATAAAAATTATTTTCCCTGTTATGTAGAATTTTTAATTTGGCCAAAATGCTTAATTTAGGGTTTTATTGCATCTGAAAATAGGTCATGTGAAATTCTTTTCCTGCTTAATGCAATCTGTTCCCAAGAAAATAAAAATGCTGCTTTTAGCCTATAAGTTCCCATATATATTGCATCTATTTCTGGAACATCTAATCCATTTCCTTTATATATTTGTTCTTTCCCATGACAATACCACATACTTTAATAACAGTAGTTTTATATTATAAAACCTCCTCTCAACATACTTCTTTTCCAAATCTAAGAGTTCTTGCACATTGTTTCCAATATAGCATTGTCTAGTCAGACAATCCCCACATAAGTGACTGTAATGGCATCATATCCACACACGCTTGCAAGGACTGGCATTCCCGCTCAATTATGTAATTCATCTCTCTCTCTCTCTCTCACACACACACACACACGTGTGCACATGGACACACATGCATATACTCAGTACACCTGCGACCCACTTAAGTACCTTTCTTTTTTAATGTTTACTTTTTTTGTTTTTAAGATTTATTTATTTTTGAGTATAAGAGCTGTTGGTACAGGCCAGAAGTGTGGGGGTGAAAGGATTCTCCAAAGACAGAGCGGGGAGCAGAACAGGCAGCTCCACTGAAATCCACTGCTGAGGGGAGCAGCCGGGAGACAGAAGTCTGCTGCACCCTGTGGGTCTCTTCCTGATGGGGATGCACCTCATACCAGTGGCTGGCGATAGCTAGACAGCGCTGAGACTTAACTCCTGCACTCCCACAGAGGCCTGAAGTACCTTTCTTGCCATCAACTTCTGGTTTTAAAACTCTGAGTATGTGCCTTTTGCTTCAGTAATTTTTTTGTGCTCCCATTAAGCTTCCTTAAGAACAAATATCACATTTTGGCCTATAGTTCTCTTCTTCAAGATGAAACATGTTTTGGTTGTTTTGCCTTATCTCCTCACTTTTTGCTGACCTCGTCAACCCCATCAGCCTCACTGGGCCCACGTTAATTCTTTTAGTTGTTCAACTTTCCAAATTCTTCCCAGCCTCTGGGCCCTTGCACATTGTCCTTGTGACTACACACTCTCGGTGCAATTCGTGTTATTTCACAGAAGGCCTTCTCTGACACTTTCCAAATTTAGTTATACTCTCCATAGTGCCCTCTACTTTTCCATCACAGCACATAATGGCACGCATAGATGTGTCTGCTGAATGACTATCTCCTCAACAATAAATTCCAGATGGATTGTGCTAGCGCATATATATACTCTATCTGAAAAGAACCTCCTTAGCCAATTTAATTAGCTAATATCTCACTTTCAAATAGAAGCAGCAGAGAAACTCGAAATCGAAAGCGAGTAAATGTCTATTAACAATAGGGAGGGTTCAGCTTTTTAGGTTAAAAACTAAGCACTCTTTGCCTTGGTGAACAGGTCCTATGTAATTAAGCTGAACATAAAACTATGTTCAAAAGGGCAACGCTGTTTTAGCCAAGATAAGAACGTTGTCTTTAAAATGCTTATTTCTAATAGTACTTTCAGCTCTGAGTAGTTAATCTAACTTGGAACTCAAAGTGGGAAGATGAAAGATTAAGCAGAAATAAAGGTTCATTCAATTTCCTTGAGAATAAATCAAAATTATTTACTATATAGTAAATGTGAATTACTGTTTTTACATAAGGCCGTTATTGGCCGGTGATGTGCTTGCCACATCCTCTGGGCTTTCCTTTTACTTATGGAACCCAGCGGGTTGAGTTTTTAGAAGTTTTCTTGAATAAAGCATTATCAAAAATATACCTAATGAAGATAAAAGAAATTTAGATGCTTTCAAAGATTCTGTTTTGACCTCTCCCCACCTTACCGCAGTATACTGGAGGCGTAAAGTTCCTGCCCATCTGACAGCATTGCCATTACCTCTCTCATCAGGACAAAACACAACACACAAAGTATACTAGAAATATTTGGTTCTGTTTAATCAGCTATTGATGGTGTCATAAATTTAAGTGGCATCTAATTTGAACATTTAAAATAGTTCACTGAAGGGTAATCTACAGCACAGCGTGTTAAGCCTAACCGTCAAAACGAACACCTCTCTTTCTAGTGAAAGGAGAAATAAAGGCATGATCAAAATTATGACCGACAGTTTGGGTTCATTTGTACACATAATTCTTCTGTAGGCATATTGGCAGGCATAATGTTGAAATCATTCCACTAGATTTAGAAATACGGTTACGATAAAAAAGGAAGTATACATTTCAGAGTTCTTATCTAAAATTAAAGAAAAAAGTCCACCAAATTATCACAACAGATCTTTAATAGCTAATTTTTTTAAACATTAAGGTTGTTTTAGGGAACACCTTTTCTCTTTGAACATTCAGGGAAATGCTCAATGTGTTAAATAACTTACAGAGAGAAATAAATTTTGTGTTCTGTACAAATTTAAGAACCCATGAATAGAACTCCTTTCTCCCCAACCCCTGCCAAAACTCAATTTTGCAATGGTCTCAGAAGAAAATAAACAGCTCACAATTTAAATGGAATTTATAGCACTACAAAAATTTACAGAACTCATCTCCATTTTATTGTAACAGAAAGATTTCAATGACAGAATTGTATGATCAGAATGTAAAAATACTTGTGCAAAACTGCATTATTGTTACCGTTTACCAGAGGTAACCCTAAGAACGCACAATGACAGCATGAATAAACACTACACTGGACGTAGTTCTAGGTGGTTCCCAAACACGGACGACACTAGCACTGTGCGTGAGCAGCAACGTGCTTCCCGGAGCACCACGCGCGCCGCGAAGGCCGCTGGCCCGGAACGCCAAGGGGAGCGCCGTCCGCCGGCGGCGCCGAGACCGGAAACAAGTGTAGGGCTCCAATTCACGGCAATGCTTTTATTCTTGAAATTTGAAGATCATATATGAAACAGTAAGAAAGTCCTTCCCCCGCCATCTCAAGGAGTGTTTTCTTGCCTCGTCAATGGCAATCCTCAGAAGAGCTGGATCATGGACTCCCTGGATTTGCCCACACCGATCCATTTAACTGGTGGGGAGAGAGTGAGAACAGTGTTAGTCCACTCAAGGCAGAACGCCCCTGGCTGTCTCAGTGTCGCCACTGGTCCCTCGGCGCCCGGCACCTTTTTGCTGTGGCAGCAGACGGTGCCAGCGTCTCACCGGAGCAGCGCCGGCACAGGGCAGCCCCGGGACTGCCTCACTCCTCACTGAGCGCGCGCACGACAGCGGGGATGCCTCTGTTCCTAGTAATTAGGACAGTAAAACCCCGGCTCAAGTCAGTAGAAAGATCTTTGCTCACGTTTCTGATTAGAAAAGATAAATAAATGAAAGCCAGCGAAGATCCCGAGGTAGCGTTCTAAGTTTTGTATCTCAAAAAAGGAGAACCACCTGGAAGAGAACACGGCTTAATTCACACGGCCTCTGCAATGTCTGATGTACTGACTGGGGGTCTCAACCCCTGCAACGCAGGCATACGCCTTCACAGTGAGACACTGACACGGCTACCCTCGCTGTTGTTCATAATTCACAAACGGCTGGCTGAGAGCAGTGTGCAAGCGTGCTCCCAAATCGGACATCCAGCTGAAGGGCAGCCAGCAAGGCAGACAAGAAGATTCAAGTTTGGCATACACCACAAATACAAGCGAGCCGCGGTGCGCAGGCAGAGCGAGGGCGCGGCAGCTCGCACAGGTCGTCTACCTCCCGCTCTATTCACTTTGTCTCCCAAACCTTCAACAGTCCAAGTAAAAGGGAAAAGTGTGTTAAAACAAAGACCTCATCTAACCAATTCACTGTAACTTGCTTTGGCCAAATTCCCCGGTCAACTCACATTTGTTTTTGAATAAAGTTTTTATTCTTTATTCTTTCCAATTGAATTTCCTACTTTTTGTTCCCATGATTTCCTAGTCTTAATCCACTCCCCACCTCTCACAGGAGGTACAGCCTAATTGAAAAGGGCAACCTACAGACCACTTTTAGTGGTAGCAAAGATACAAAGGGATATAATATTAAGAGGGAGAAAGGAAGAAGACTGAACATTGTTTGGTAAAAAGAACAGGATTAAGACAGAGTCCAAAAGGGTGAGAGGTAATTTACTATCTTCGCGTGCATTATATTTAAGGAATAAAATTTTATCTTCATGGGCATTTCCACAAATTATGAGTGCTTTACAAAGCAATAAAGACCTTCTTCTGATCTTATTTTATAGGCAGTTAATTTTAAAGTAGAAAAAGTAAAGGTAGTCATATATTAAAATGTTAATGCTTACCTGGAATTTTTAGCTCATCTTCAATAAACCGAACATAATTTTGAGCATTAACAGGTAGTTCTTTAAATGTCCTGGCATTTGATATATCTGTGTTCCATCCTGGGAGAGTCTTATACTGAACTTCAACTTTATTTAAGACTTCTTGGTTTGCTAAAATAAAACGTATTAAAGAATATATTTACGCATGGTATATACTGCCTACTGTCAAACAACTTTGTGATACAGAGCACGGGTTCACAATTTCTTATAAAATCCTTGCAGCAAATGGTAGAATTAGAATTTTTTGAATTAGGCATTTTTAGGATGGTACAAGTGGAGGTAGTATCTGAGGTAGTATTTTATGATCAAACATATTTCTGAAGCAGTGTAGGATTATTCACTCTAAGCAGTCTCAGTACTATTAGTCCAACATCAGCTGAAGTCAAATGTTTCTGTCAAATGGTTGTTGGTGCTAAACTTAAAACTTTTAAGAATTTTTGAGATTTTACATGACAGGATTAGGTGTTATGAATCCGCAGATGCACAGCAATCTTACAGAACGAGCCGCATACTTGCTTCATCAGAGAAATCTTCTATTGCTTTTGTGATTCTATACATAAACCTACTTGGAAATTTTCTTTATTGTCACAATCATTTTCTTCATGTGTCCCCTAACAGAAAATGAAAATATACCAAAAATATGTAAGAACAGTTTCTCTGACTAGAGATAATATAGTGACTGTAACAGCACCTAGCCCAGATTTTTCTCTTCAGAATTGAGACATCCTTTGCAAAGTTGAGTCTTTGCTTCAATATATGAGGAAGCTTCCTTGCTAGAAAAGTCCAATGACTTGCTAATGTGGGCATATAAATACCTGGCTACTTAATTTGCGACAATTATGAGGGACATTCCAGTCCCAGACCTCCCCATGTAATCCACTCAAGGATTTTTTTTTTCAGATTTACTTATTTCTGCACACAGAACTGAGGCACAGGCTAGAGTGCAGGGCAGTGAGAATCTTCACCAGAGACAGAGCGGGGAGCTGAACAGGCAGATCGACAACGTCCACTGCTGAGGGGAGCAGTGGGGAGACAGGAGAGGTCTGCCGCGCCATGGGGTCACCTCTAGGCCCGGGGATCGGACTTGCATGGAAGCAGCTGCGGCTGGCTTGCGGTGCTGCGCTTTAACCTGTTACGCCACCAGGGAGGGCCCGCCATTGAAGGATTTTTATGTAACTACATTTCACTTCAAATTTCCCTCTGCCTAATCCTTCTCGCACACCCTCCCCGACGTAGCTAAGAGCTCTTATGTACGAGCGACCTTTGTATGTCGTTATATCTCTAGCAAAGTCTGTTCCCCAGGGAATTCAACACAAGGCAGTGGTGCTGGATTAAAGGAGGGGGCGGTTATAAAATAGTGGCTTGGAGTGGGATAAGCCGCCAGCAGGCTGGCAGCGAGGGCCATCTCTGATGGCAGGCAGAGGATGGACGGTCTCTGGCACTCTGCAGGTGCACTGCTCAGACTTTCACAGAAGTGAGCTGGGCCGCTGCACCGTGGAGAGGAAGCGCTGACAGCATCTGCGGCCCCAGAAAGGAGCACAGCGGAACGCGGAAGCGGAGGGCGCTAGAGGAAGCCGCTCACCCACTGGAGAGAGGCTGACAGGTGGTGAAGGCTCATCACTTTCAGGCAAAGGGCCTTGCTCAAGTGCTCTTGCAGAGGGCAGAAAACAGTGATGACCACGCTCAGGATTTCATCACACAGACAGAGGCACTCTGGGGAAAACTGAATTCTCAGATCCAGCAAGTCTACCCCGCGATGACAAGGCCAGAGTCCCGCTGGGGAAAGGCGGTGTCCTGAGGCTTGGTGTGTTGCCGCTCATCTTGAGTGTCACACCTGACGACACGGCCTTCTCGGACGCGCTGACCTCCTTGGGGCTGCATAAAGCCCATCACTCCCTGCTCATGTTTAGGCTTCCGCTTCTTTGAGAATAACGCAGAGGCCGTTAACTTGAAGGGCAACATGTGGCCCTTGCAAGCTCTACCTCTTCATCCATGCCCTCCTGACCAGCAAACACTATCGGTCAAGTTACAACATAACTCAGCACAGACCGCTGGGACTGCTCAAGAAGCAAAGGGGCTGGGTCAGGGGCGACCTGCCCAACCGAGCTGACATTACCCAGAGGAGCCGAGAAACGTGAAGAAACGGCCCTGGGTGCCCGATGAAGGCGGGCAGTGGACAGTGGACTAGCAAGCAGACTGAGCAGGTGTACGGGTATGGGAGTCCTCCTCCAACACCTGTGAACAAACATGCTGAAAATACACCACTAAATTTGTTCTTGGCAGCTCAGAGAAAGTGGTTGACCACTCTACGTGGATACGCCAGATGCTTGCGCTAAACGATAAAAGGAATCGAGAGTCACACAAGTGAGCAGGATCAGACTGCGAGGTGAAGCAGTGCTGGCAGAAAGGAAGAGCCGGCACACTGTGGCCCAGCACTGCTGGGCCGAGGCGACCACTTTACTCCTGGCTAGCACTCCCGATACCCAGCTAAGGTACCGGAAAGGCCATTTCCTAAAAAAACACTTTTCTCAAGGGAGGGAGGAGTGCCGGCCCAGAAGTTACTTTCAAAACAGGGAAGAGGAGACGGATGGGCTCGGGGGATCGAGGCTCCTCTCCTGCCTCTGAGCACGTGCTGGCCAAGGGCCAGCACCCAAATGCACAGCAGCCGTGAGGCGAATGCTAGCGAGTGAGCTTGCCTGCACCAGCCAAGGGGGCTCACACTTGTGGCTACAGAGCACTAATCATCAGAACGGCTTTATACAATGGTTCTAGTACATCCGGTCTATAACACAGGCTAGAAAAAGCAGCGTACCTGGGAAGTGAGGTATGATTTTGTCATCTAACTTGTAAGCCACTCCAACTTTGATTTCCGTAAACATGTCCAAGATATCCAACTTGGTAAGTGCCAACCTAATTTTGGAAGAAAAAGCAACATTCAAGCAAACTCTGAGAGACACGATCCCCAACTGGAGGAAAAGCAAGAGGCCAGTGAGGCAGCGCCCAAGTCCCGAACATCTGAAAACCGCGAGGGCTGTATCGCCGTGGTGCCGCAAACAGCCACTGGGAGAGATGGGCAGATGCACTTTCGTCCTGAAAACTAAAACTCATCACCCAGTGAACTGCACTCCTCAACAGCAGTTTCTCACTGCTGTGCCCAGCGTCATCTCATCGCCAACAGCCCGCCCTGGCAGCGAAGCTGCTGGAGTCAGAGATGCCTCATGCCAAGACTCTGGGCACAGCACACCCGCTGCGGCTCGAGAGGCCACGCTGACAGACACCATCACCCGGGATGTTCTCACTGGCTGCCGTCATCTCCACTCAAAGGACAGTGGAGAAATGATATAGTAAAACTTGAAACACTGGAAGAATCCGTGAAAATTAGATAAAATACTATGCTTGGGAATTCTCACCCACGTGGTTTTAGCTTTTGTTATGTGCTAGAAGCTAAGCCTTGAGCTTATTTACATACCAATGTATATGTATTAGTAGCAATTAACTTTTACTAATCATTTTCAGTGAACCAGCATTATATTATATGCTCTCACTACATTCTCACCTAATTTTCAAAACACCTCTTTGAAGTAGAAAGTAACAGTATCTAAATCCTAAGGACGATGAAGTAGCCACACAGAGGTGAACCTGCCCAAGTCACACAACTGAGGTGTGATATCTGCGGTCCGAATGCAGAATCAGCATCAACCCACGAGTTACTTCTCTCTCTGTATTCGCTCACGCTCACTCTTCTCTCCACCCACCTAGCGCCCTTCACACTTCTATGTATGTACGACTATTGTGATTTCCCCCCCCCATCCTGGATATCTACGAAGATAAACTGGGACATCTCTTGTCTGTTTTTCTCCTGTAGCTCCACTTACACCTTGAGCTCCAACTTCAAGTTGGCATCTAAACAGAGAAATTTTTCCATCAGAATACTAGCTCAAAATTGCATAGCATGAAATTTAACCCATGGTCATGAGGTGTCCCAATCGGTCCTGCCATGTTCTGAGGAATACTCACGCAGTAAACCCATTTATCATGTGAGCGTATCTGAGTAAAACGAGATCGAGCCAGCCACATCTTCTTTTCCTCCCGGTAGTTACACCATACTCTCTACCTCTTGTTTGTAACAATTCTCCAATTTCCTAGAGAACAGAAAATAAAACTGCATGACTAGAAAGAATACCAATGCTATAAATCTAATGGAATGATCCTGAAGTCCATCTATATATAAGTTAAGCCTCTTTGAGATCAACAACTTTCAGGAAACCACCAAGTGGATGAAAGACTCCACTGAGATGAAGGATTTTATATGAAACATTCATAGTTTGGAATAGATACATTCTGGCTTCATCTTTTACCATGGTCTTAAGTCAACTTAGATAAGTCTGTCAACTTAGATTACCAGACTAAACCTAAATACTGTATATTAAACACAAAGTTGTTAACCGGATATATCAAAATTGTTACCATTAAAAGACAAGATAAGCACCCATTTACTAATAAAACTCTTAATAAAATGCAAGTTGAAAACCTACAGTCAATACATAGTGGCAAAAAGCTGGAAGCTTTCCCTTTAGTAATCAGAAACAAGACAAAGATGCCCTCTTCTCTTTATTCTAGAGATTTTAACAACACAATTAGATAACAACAAATAATAGGGATACGGTTTGGAAAAGAAGTGAATCCAAGACTATTTGGAGATACGATACTACATACAGAAAACCTGTTTTCCCTAATATCTGTGGTAACTTTTTTCATTCCTGGTTCTACTTACTAGTTTTCTATCTTTCTTTACGAACCTAATGAAAGATTTGTCTGTCTTTTCAAAGAATCAGCTTTGGGTTGCACAGATCTGTGAACCACCTTTTTAATTTCTACTCTATGATTTCTTTCCTTCCACTGCCATTTATTTCTTTACTTTTGTTCATTTCCTAGTTACTCATTTGTGGCCTTGCTTGTTTCTTGATGGAGACAGACCTATACTATTAACTTTCTTCTCAGCATTGCTTTTGTGGGCCTCAAGGATTTTAGTAGCTCATGTTTTCTTTTTGTCAGTTAACAGGTACTTTAAAGTTTCTCCTTTCCCAGCTTACTACCCACTATTCAGTGTACTACGTTTGGTCTCCACCTACTTGACTTCCAGTCACACACAACTGTGGCCAGAGGACAGCGGGAGCGGCTCTCGTCCCGGGGCTCTGCCTGCCTGCCTGCTCAGCTGCCTTTTCCTTTCTCACTTTCCTAACAAGCCTGTCCTTTACATGAAAAACCACAACAAACACCATTTTATAGGAGTTCAACCTTCCTGAATTAAGCCACCCAGTTTGCTGATCCAGTATATATATGGTCTGTCCTTGAGAAGGTTCCAATTGTACATGTGTATTTGTGAAGAATTTACACTTAGCTTCTGGGGGCTGGATGGAGAAGAGATCAAAGGGGCACAGGGTGCTGATAGGAGGAATGAATGAATAAAAGTAAACAAGTCAATTATTCTAAGAACAATTGTAATTTAATGACTTTCCTGGAAATCATAATGCAAACTCCTATTTAATGGTTTTGAAGATAATTAAAAACAATAATTTAAAAACAATGCACCAAAATCTAAGCTACAGCAATTCTCTACAGTCAATTTTCCCATGTACGATCTATCAATACTCTAACTTAACCTTTCGGTTAAAGGCATCCATCATTTCATTGCCGCTTGTATTCTATCTTTACAATAACGTGTGTGTGCATGTGGGTGCTTTATGTTGCTCCCTGAGGCCTGCGTCCCAGCCCTGGCTATTTGTGTGGCACTGGGCGAGTTATTTCACCTCTCTGTACCTCAGTGTCCTCAAGTATATATAGCACAGGGATGGTGACACCACCCAGTTCCTGACCTGTTTGGGACTCTGATGAACTCCTAAGTACACAGGACTAAAAGCCCTGGCGAGCAGCCTGGACAGCTTATGGAGATCATTCTTCTTTATCTCTACCTCCTACTAATTAAGCTCTTGGTAAAAGGTAGCTGCTATTTTAAACTCTCTTCCTCCTTCACTATCTTGATCCCCTAGATAAATGCACCTTCATTTAGCCTTTCAACTGCAATTATCCTTAAATACCTTCTAATCACTCCTCTTGCTGCCAATCTGCTGCAACTAACCAAGGTGTGTGTACATTTACAAATACATACTGCTTGATAATTCTTACAACTTAATAAAAGCACAGAAGCCAAGTATGTTAAGGAAAAAAGGATAAATTTTGACTTTGAACTTTGAAACAGGCTTACATTATCTTGCTCGGTAGGAAAGGCACCAATACCAACTCGAGTAGTATAAGCTTTCACAACTCCATACACTTCTCCAACATTTTGGGGAGGCATCCCCAGCCCAGTACAAACACCTCCAACCGTGCAGTTTGAGGAGGTTACGAAAGGGTATGTTCCTAAAGACAGAAACAGACATTAAAATATACAAGTAGTCATGCATCATGTAAATGATACTTTAAAGTAAAATAAAACAGAATTACAATAAAAAAAATTCTTCTCAAAGTACATTCTAGGTGTTGGACAGACCTGAACAGAATTTGAACATACCCATAACCGCCCTCCAACAGTTTCATTCTCGATTCTTTCATCTACAATGGGACAGTAACGGCGGCTGAAGCCACACTGCAGCGCCCGCTTACACTGGCAGATCTCGAGCGCCCACAGTTCACCGACGCAGCTCTGTGGGACAGGCACCGACCTCCCGGACCGCTACATCATTTAATGCCAAAACGATGTAGACTTGGAATTTACATATTTCAATTATCTTCCTTTAGTTTGAAAAAAATCCACTCTCTTCTTTTGATCTGAATATTTAAAGTATAGCAGCAACTGAAACACTTCGTCACCTTTTGATCTCTATCCAGGGAATAACCCCAGAAGCAACAAGAGGAAATGAAATATACTTGCGCCCCAGAAAAATCCTCCTCAGATTTAACTACTAAGCTAATTAAACAATCTGCTTTCTTTTCATGTTTACACTATATTGGTTCTAACTATTTCCATGTTTAGATGGAAAGTTTAGCAAACTAATCATACAGCTGTGTGAAGGGGTTAAGCATAAGCTTTTTGAAAAAGGAGGGAATGCTCTAAATCCATTCAGAATCCCCTATCCAGGAATTAAATAGATGAATTAGCATCTTCTGATATGATAAAACAGCTAAATTAAAGATAAAAGGTACTACATAGGATTCATCTTTCATCTTACAGTTCCAACGACATGAGCTCTGGAATCGCACATACATACCCATAACCACCTCTCAACATATCAACTGCTTCATTCTTGAGTCAAATAATGAAAATCATAATTTACAGGAATACCAAACCTACTCAATTCAAATAGTAATTTCATTTTTCTAATGAACTATAAAACTTAACACACGTATTCCCTACAATATTCCTTTTTAAAAAACAGTTAAATGACAAACTTCCACCATTTATGAATATACAGGGTAAAAGCCTTGCTGTAAAACCCCTTAATGCTAATGTTAATTATTTATATCTTAAGTAACTCAGGGCTCAGTGAAGCGCCTCACACATCCTATCTCACTTACCAAAATCAATATCTAGTAGTGCTGCATTTGCACCTTCTACCAAGATTTTCTTTGGTGGTCCATGTAGAGCCTCATATAGGAAATAAACTCCATCTCTCACCATTGGTTTTATCCTTTCCATGTAACCCTACATACAAAGACAAAACCCATTTTCAATGCATACTAACACATTTACAATATAACCAGTGTGAATAAAGATTACCTGACTTCATGACAATGAGAAATGGCAAATACAATGGAGAAAGTGATTGGTGGGTTTCCTGGGGGCCTAAGGTTACATCTCAGGGCTACCACTGCGACTGCCCACCATGATGGCCTGAGCTCGACCCCCAGCCTGAGTTCAATCCCAGCCAGGGAGTGACCCGCAGGGTGCAGCAGACCTCTTCTGTTTTGCTCGCTGCTCCCCTCAGCAGTGTATTTCAGATCTGCCTGTTCTGCTCCCAAATCTGTCTATGGTGAATCCCCCCTGCCCCACCACCCTCCACCTCTGGCCTACACCCCAGTTCTTCTATACAAAAATAAATATAAAAATTCTTAAAAAAAAAAAAAGTGATTGGTGATGGTGCTCATCCTACTGGTTTAGCTTTGGTCTCTCAAACTGATAGTGCAGGGCCACAAGAAGCAGAGGTAAAAAATTTCACCTCAATGCAAATGACAGTCTTCCAAACAGCGAAGTATTAATACTTTGTATACTAGTGGTCAGGAAAATAAAGGCAATTAACTGCATTACATTGTGCTTTTCTAATTTAAAAAGCTGTATTTATAATCCATGTAATCTTGAGTTTTGAAACTTGTACCAGGGTCACTCTCAAAATGTGCTGAAGCCCACGAATGACACTGTATAGGATGAATAATAAATTATTCAAAAACTTTTACTAATATCCTTTGCCACTGTATTTCCAATACCGTGAAATAGCGCAGATGTACTATTAGATTGTATCAAATACTATTTTTAACATGCATTATAACTTTTTCAAAACATATTTCAAGTTTTAATACCACTACTTACTTTTAAATTCAATTTAAAATATAATTTTTAAGTAAGAACTTGCCCCATGGCTATCATATGTCACTGCAAAAACCAAAAACCAAAAAACACCTACTTTCAACTACATGTGAATATTTAGCCACAATATATGGAAATTACTCACTTGAGTAAGTCACACACATTGATGAAAATATGGTCCTTCCTTGGTCCTAGACTCCATGCTCATGCTTATTCCTGGTTTAAGCCTTTTTTCAATCCATAAAATGACCAGGACCATTCATCATGTCACTTGCTCCTGATTCAGCATGTTATTACCTTTTAAGAACCTTCTTACCCAGCTGTGTTCATTATATTCATCTATTTCACGTTTACAAGTAACAATCATAAATTAGGACTGGAAAGCCACACATGTAACTTTAAACACATAAATTTTTTTCCAAGTTGCTAGCAATAACTGAAAATATTTGTTGCATCAAAGAATGAAAAGAAAATGACAAAAATTAACAGAAAATTTATTCTAAGCAACAATCAATACACTGAAATCCACTTGGAATGTCCACGACATCTTGTTTAGGGATTTAGTGAATGGCCAGACCTAAGGTATACAGTCCTCTTGAATAGCATGTAAAGGTGGGAAATTCCTATTTAGACTAGGAGTTGATGCCCATACTGATTTACCATTACTGTGATCTACAATAATAACAATCAGACATATAAGAAGCAGTATGAAGCACTGTGGAGGAATGAGAGGCTGAGATAGTCAGACTTCACTGCCGACCAGCACGGACAGCTGCTACTTGCCAGCTGTGGCGTGAATGTGGTGAATCCCCTGACTCTTAGGAGCAGAGAGCTGAAGCTGGAGAGACTGACCGTTCAGAAAGCATCATTCCTGAACGGGCTGCAGACTTTAGAAGTCTTCACTCCTCACTCAGCCCTTTGTTAAGCTATGTTCCTTATTGAGTACATTTTCTATAATAATCCTTTTGTCTGGTCAGAATTATTCAACAGCTTTTCATTATCTCCAGGGTATAACTAATTCCTATCAGTGTCCTTAGACCAATAAAGGACTTATGTTCTGGCCTCTTCTCTACTTTATCTTTAGGTGCTTTACTCCAGCTCCCCACTAAAGAATCTGTTCGTTACATGATGTGACGAGACTCAAATACACCTTGTGGTAGTTCAGTCCTATAGGCATTTACACTTAAAAAGGACAAACAAGCCACCTGAGATCTTACCTTGAGTTTTTGTAATTCACCTTCAATATCTATTTCCAAAGTGGGGTATATCGACTTGTACTGATTAGCCAGAACTTTGAACCTGAGAAATAAAGATAAATGAAGATAAATGAAGACATTAGCTGTTTAAAAATATTCTCCATATTTCTCATTCAAGTGGTTTATAGATAAATTGTCCTAATAACAAATTAATCTCCAAGCTGAAATTACATTCTGAGGAATAAAATCTAATCATAAATAAATGATGTACTAAAAATGCCTTTTTTAATTCAACTTTAGGGGTATCGACAATAAAATTAAGGTGATAGAGGGTAAGGAAACAGCTGAAATAAAATCCAGATATAATTCTTATCTGTAACCATAGACTTACATCTGAATTAGTTATATTCCACTTTGTGGAAAACAAAGGGGACAGTCTACAAGATGCTTTTAAATAGACATTGGCAGACATTCGTTCAATGGAGGTTCCTAGCCCGTACAGTAGACAGACTGACTGCCGCGTGGAAATGGATACAGCCGCAGCACTTCTCACGCAACCCGCTACTAAATCAGCCAACTAACTCCACGCTGAATCACCAAAAGGCTTTTTATTGGCATTAGGCTTCCCATGGAGGTTTTGCTTCACAGAGTCGATGTGGCTTACCCACTCAGTCAAGGTAAGACAGATTCCCAGTCTCCGAGAGGCTAATTACTTCTAAGTGGGAACACTGGAGCCCCTGAGCCCAGTCATCTGACGTTAAGGCTTTGGGCTGGGCAACTCCAAACTGCGGCCACATTATCCCCGACACACGCTGTCTCCCCAACAAGCCACCCCAAACTCTGTGGTACTAATATTACATCACATTAATTTTCATTTGAAACCAAGTATCAATAAGAATGTGATTTTAAAAAGAACTTTAACATTTTAAAAAATACCCAAAATGCCAATCATCCCAATTCAGCTAAAACACCAACTTTACCAATTTGCATTCTGAGTTTTAAAAATCCATCCACTCTTTTCATTTTGACATACAAATTAGTTACCTCTCAGAGAAGCCATCAAAATCAGAAACAAGGTCACACATCCGGAGTCCACTCCGAGCAGCTTTCGAAGAATAAACTGGGCCAATCCCCTTTTTTGTGGTACCCAAACTTAAACAAGAACAAGTTTTGAGTTAGACAAGAAGATACAATTCTTATGGGCGGATCATCATAGAGCATTAATATGATCACTTTCTGTTTATGCTATTTCCTACAAGTTGATTTTCACAATCAAACCTTTTGGTTTTTCTCTGAAATTAAACAGAATATTCCTTTTCACATTTACTTTATTTTTTATATTTGATTTCTTTACTTGCATTTCTTTCACACGCCGTGTGGCTCCTGGCGTTCCCGCCAGGCCCTCTGGCAGCGTCTCTGTCGCCCTCGCTTGCGCCTGCTCCCTCTCCGCTCCCCTGCAGGCTGCCCCTGATTTATAGTTGCCTGATTATTTCCCCTGTCAGTGAAATCCCATCCAGTATTTATCTTTTTCTTTCTGGCTTATTTCACTGAGTATTACCCCTGCTGACTCCTTCCATAGTGCCATGAGCGGCATTAGATTTCATTTTTTTTTTTTGTTTTGTTTTGTTTTTGCTGAATATAAACAGAATATTCTAAGATTTATTTTTCTTAATCTTATGACCCATAAACTATACAGGCCTGCACATGCTTCAACTGCACACACGCATACACTCATCATACTTTTTTCCTGCTTGTTCTTGTCTCTGTTGCTCCTGGATGCCATCAGCTGCTTGATGAAAATCAAATACTGTGGGGGGTGGAGGAAAACAAAACAAATCACAGGTGTTGTCCAAATAAAGATAACATAAAACAAAACATTGTATTTCAGTTACTGAAGTTATGAATCACCTCAACCTACTATCATTATGATACATTAAGTGGACACATTTTAAATTGACACTGTTACACTAGTGAAAATGCCTGGTCTTCACTTATATTAAATAGACTATTTTAAAAACTGAGTCAACAGAGGTCGTTTTGGAACACCCTACACTACAACTCAATTTTAACTGAGATTCTCTTCCTCAAGTTCTGGATTCCAGAAGTCTAGGGATCATTGTGACAATGGCCTCTTTGTCACTAGTTCTCAACTTCCACTACTGTCACCAAAACCGCCGCCTGCCAATGAGCGTGATACCTCTTAATTCCTATTTTTAACTGCAGTCAAAGTCATTTTCTAAGTCGCAAATGTGCCACCACTCGCTCGCCCTCACAGCGCTCGCCCGCCCGGCCTCCCGGAGGGGGCTGCCCGCCTGCTGGTCCTCAGGCCACATGGCGTGGTCTCAGCTGTGGCTACAGCTATCTCCCCCGTCTCCACACGTCTCCTTGATGCCGTGCTCTCTAGTGTGCACTCTTCCTCCCTCCCTCCTGCCACACTTTAGTATGAGTGCTGAGACCACGTCAGCGCGGCTAACTAGTTGACTTCCTGTGCCGACTGCAAGTTCTCAAATATTTACTGACTGAAGAGCTTATGGAAAGGCAGGGTTAAAATTATGGTCTCTGAACTTTTAGCCAGGGGTTGGGTTTTTCCTTTGTTCTTGGACATCTTTCTGGGAATATAATTTATATACATAAAATTAGCCCATTTAAAGTATATATTTTGGTATATTTAACCATAGCTTCTTTCCACTAATAATTGCTACTGTTTCCAAATAAGCTGAAATACATAAATGCTAAACAAATGACTGATAAGGTTCTTAGAACTAATGGTGGCATCTGAAAAAGAACTATTTAGAGGGAGTAGGTTAATATCTAATTATAGATGGTGAAAATAGAGACCACCTTCCCCAACAGGGGAACCCAGGGCATTCTGAGATTCCCTGGAAGAACTATGCTGACGTGAGTGTGGGTGCAGACCTGGCTGGGGCAGTGAGAATTCCATGGATGCAGATCTCTGCGGCCGGCAGGGGCACCCAAGACCCCTCCCGCCCCACTCCCAGAAAATACAAAGAAATACCAGGCTGAGCCAGGTCAAACTGCAAAAAAAGCCAGAGAGCAGAGACAAGGGCTTGGACAATGGAACCCACGTATCTCTTGGAAAGTAAACAGTGGTGTGCAGATGTTGCAAAACTGCAGAAGCAGCAGCAGAAGTGGGGGCAGGGCAGCGACAGCCACTGACTGTTGGTGGCCACAGTGACACGGCAGCACAGGCAGCTGTCACACTGCAGGACAGCAGCACCGCCAGCCAGTCACAGCTCAGTTGGGGACTATGAGTCTGGTGGTCCACAACTAGGTCCCCACTGGGCAACTCAAGTTTCATAAATAACCCACAGCACAAAGGACAGGCAGGGAGTTGGGGTGGGAAGTTAAGACACCCTGAGCACAGAACAAAGCAGAACGTGGAAAGAAGAGCAGGAAGAGATGACCAATTTCAGCCCTTAGACTGAGAAAATATTAAAACCCCAACCCCCCACTACCCCCGCCTCACGCAAAGGTAAACTAAGAAGAATAACAAACAAAACTAAATCCCCAATGCTGCCAAATCCCCTCCCCTGCCTGAGACAATGCACATGCCGGAGGAAACAAGGAGCAGCTGAACACAAGATGGCAAAGCAAAATGGGTAGAACAGACGTCCTGGGACAAATATAAAGGACACAGAAGTAAAAGATCTATCGAACAAAGTCTTCTAAACAACAGTATTCAACATGTAAAATGAGCGACTGGGTGGTCAGTCAGGGCAGCAGGATGCAAGACCCCAGAAAGGAGATCCAGGACCAGGGAGAGTTCTTCACCAAGAAGACTGAATCGTTAAAAATACACAATCCCAGAGGCTCTGAATGAAAAGGAAACACATTTAGAAAGTGCTTTAAATAGAATTAAAATGGCAAAATAATTTCAAAAGTAGACTAAAATAAACAAATCACCCATTAAGAAAGAGAATCAAGAAGGAAGCCTTCACAATTCTAAATGACCGAATTGCCAGTCAAGAATAGTCTATCTACAAAGTTACCACTCAAGCATGAAGGTGAAATAAGGATTTTCCCAGACAAACAGAGATAATGGAGTGTTTTTTAATCACCACCAAGCCTGTCCTTTAAGAAAGGCCCAGGGAGGAGTTCTACAAGAAAATGAAACACAAATTCTGACCAAAATGACAACAGAGATACAGAACTATAGGAGTGAGTAAGAATATTACTAATCAGCAATAAAATGCTAAGGGGGTGGGGGGAAAGACGTGGGCAGAACCAGTGTAATTACGTAGAGCAGACACGAGCTGGACCAGCTCATGAAGGACTTCAGTGGGAATTCAAGTAAAATCATAAAGGTGACCACTGACCAAAAATCCAGACAAAAAAACAAAGAAATTCATCAAATATTAAGGGAAGCCATTCTGAAAGAGTAGAGAGAAACAAATGGAAAAACAAATCACAGAAAAGTAAAACTATCAAAAGCAAAAGGAATGATGCTAAACACTTTGTATCAATCATCATCCTAAATGTGAAGAGTCAAATTTACCAATTAAAAAACAGAGACTAATAACCCGGGGAGGAAAATTACTAGAGACAAAAACTAACAAAAAAGATAAGGTGGTGCAAAGTCATACATGCTAACAATTCACAAAGGAGGAACTGCTACACTTCTGTAATATAAAGTAGACTTTCAACTAAAATAGGTGATCAGAAACAAAGCTGGAAACGATGTCATGATCTAGGCAACAATCCACCAAGAATATAAAAATGTTATTAACATGTATGCACCTAATACAGGAGCACTTAGCTACATAAATACCAAATATAGCATATTGGCAAAACCACAGTCACTGTTGGGGATCTCAACACACCACTGACAGAAAGGACAGATGACCCAGATAGAAAATCAACAAGGTAATGAAGGCCTAACTTTTTAGAACACATGGATTTATTGGACATTTATAGAGCTTTCCACCCCAAAAGGAATGAGTGCTTTCTTCCCAAGCGCAAATGGAACATTCTCAAGAATAGATACCATACTAGGACATAGAACATATATGAAAATGGAAATTATACCCAGCGTTTTTACAGATCACAATGCTATAAAGCTACAGCTTAACCATAATGAGAATCCTGAAATGAACAAAACCTGTGGAAACTAAATAAAATGCTTCTGAACAATTCCTGGGTCAAGAAAGAAATCAAAGAAGAGATCAATATAATTGAGAATGGAGAGACAAGCTACTAAGCCCTAAGGGAGCCTCAAAAGGAAGTACTGCACGGGGCGTTTATAGCAACAGAGGCCTTCATTTGAGAAAAAGAAAACCTCAAATTAAGAATCTAACTCTGCAACTGAATCAACTGGAAAAAGAACAAAAGCACCCAAACAATTGAGCAGAAATAGAAATAAATGAATTAGAAATTAAAAACAGTCCCAAAGTTCAGTAAAACTATGATTTGGTTCTTTGGGGAAAAACCAACATTGACAAGCCCTTAGCTATACATATGAGGAGAAGGGAAACCCAAATTAATAGACTCAGAAATGAAATAGGCAAAATTACAACAGATGCTGCAGAAATAAATCCGATCATAACACCCTGCAACACAGCCTCTAGGCAACTGGACAATTTAGAAGAAACAAAGTTTTAGAATCACACAACCCCTCAAGACTGAATCAAGATGAAATGGTCAGCTTAAACGGTTCAATCACAAGGGCTAAAATTTAAAGAGGAAAAAAACTGGTAGGATTTCATGTATTTAGAGACAATTATTGCAATCTAGCCTGCTAAGTTTTCACTGAACTTAAAAGACAGAATTGGTTACTAAATATATACTCATGTAATAAATTTCATGTGACAGTTATGAATAAATGTATTATGCCCCCCTTACCAATATGTGCTCTATCAGATATGATAAGCCTTTTTTCCCAGCCTTCTAGACCTAGAATGAGAGTGGAGAAAGATACATTTATAATGGAACATTCTGCATAATAATTTTTAACATAAATTTCTTGAAAAATCCAATGAATTAAGAGTTTCTACTGAAGTAATCATTTTTGCTTCTTCTGTATTAACAAGGATTCTCTAACCTAGCGTTCATTATATATACAAACTCATTCACAATTTCTATCTTTCTAATTGCTTTGCTCTAAAAAGCTCCAAAAGCCAGCTATACCCACATAATATACTTTTGGGGACCCAAGAGGAAATTAATAGAAAAAATGTCATTTCCTTTCAGGATAGAGAAAGTTAGATGTAGTGTAGAAAAATTCAGAGAAATTTTGAGAATAGTACCTTTTCCTAAAAGAGTTCTTTATAGTGTCATTAAATCAAATCATAAAATGTTCTTGTTAATTCCTCCAAAATACGGTCAATTACTGTGCTTATAACACAGAAGTGTAACATGATACATATAGACACACATCCCCATTGCATTGTGAGTGCCCTGAAAGCTGGGGTCACCATTTTTCTTAGCATAGGACCTGTCACCAATAATGTTCAAAAATAACTATTAAATGAATAAGCAAATCCAAATATTTACCTTTAAAGACATGACCTTTGTAGCTTAAATGCATTCTAAGGATAAGACACCAAGCTCCAACACCTCAAAACTAATCTTTAGATGTTAAGAGTTAGTTGCTGATTTTGATAATCAAAATTTTCTTTTAAAAATTATTCCTTACAGATTTTAAAAAAGGATAATCTCACTAGACTGCTAAAAGTTAAAATGAAATATTAAGTTTCCCCCACTAGCTGTTTTTGACTTGTAAATATGTATTCTAAAGTTACTTTAGGGGCTATTAATAGAGACATTATGAAGAAACTCAGTAAAATAGCAGAACAAAATAGTTAAAGGATTCAGTGAACGAGAGTAGAATAGAGATCAGAATGGGAATTTCAAGTGGACCAGCGTGAAAGCGGACACAACACACAGATAAAGGAGATGTCAGCAAGTTTCTCTGAGGTCAGGCTTACCTTTTCCCTTTTGAACGTTTTTGTCTGCTTCTTCAAACAACCCAGGTAAATGAATTACCACACCATTTCCTAAAACAAAACAAAAAATTCCGCTTTAAACCATGCTATTTGAAATGATTTTAAAAGACAGACATCTAAAATAACTGTTTATCTACAATATTAGTGGTTTAGATTTAAAGGACTTTTTGACTTATCAGGGAGCTACCATAGAAATGACCCCCAAGTTAACAGATATACTATAAATTAATACAACATAACATAATGTAATGTAATGAGATATAAAATTGAACTCTTTATACTTTGAAATTTCTTTAAAACAAAGTGATTGTTATTTAGAGAAAAAAAGATAAAGTTATGTCCTAATTTTAGCTAATATGGCCATGTCACAGGAGATCTAAATTGTCTTTTGGAGTGGATAATCACAACCTATTAGTTGTTTAAAAAAAAAAAATCAATTTAGTGGATTGTGAACAGCACATTAAAAATAAAAAACTAAAATAGAAACGATCAGACTGCATCATAAGGCTTCAGAATCAATCCATTAAATATAGGCTTCTTATATTTCTTCCTGCATGTCATTGTATTTGGAAACCTGATCTGATGATCTAATACTTTACAGACTTCAGATTAGCAACAGATATATGTAAAGTAATTATTCTAAAAAGTCTTATTGCTAAGCATCTAAAAGATATGAACAAAACCAAAATTACGTATATTACAGAAGGTCTAAAGGTCAAAATTAATAAAAAATAAGATTAGTTCAACAGTGAGAGATTAAATCAATTTAGATAATAAGTTGTGAACACTACATCACAACTCTGGGGGTGGGGGAAATCAGCAAGCAGCCCAGTATTCACTATGCCTGCCACACTCTCATACATACTTACCAATGAATGCAGTAACATTTGGATTAATTATTCCACTGGGTAAAAGATGAAAATCATATTCTACAGAATCTACAACAACTGTATGGCCAGCATTATTTCCTCCCTGAAAAATAAGATAGAGGGGAATTAAATCTGACAATAAATTTGCTAAGCAATATCAATATCTCCTTTCAAGTGAACTAATGATTTCCTGCTGAAGTGTCAACATAAATTATTAAAACTCAAGTATTTGCCTTTGACACTTAATCTTTGTTAGCTTCATAATAGTTTGGCTCTTTCCTCCTTTCCCCATAATAGTATATTCAGTGGCTATTCCTAACAGGACCTAGAGAGTAGAGAACTGGGGTTTCCTTCTTTATAAGAGTGAAAGTTCAGGTAGTGACTAGCTTGTTATTCTGTTTTGGGGACTATATAGGACACAGAACATCTAATTAATTATCACTGGTATTTTAGGTAAAGAAAGGTCTTCAAAAAAGAAATTTTTTCAGTCACCTTCACATGATAAAAATATTCATATTATTCCCATTGTCCTAGGAATGTGTCAAGTGGCTTGTGACCTAAAACTTGTATTCTTATGTGGGCTTATCATCTAAGAAGTCTCAAAAAGTACAATTCTCAAATAATGACTGATTAATTTTTAAACTTTTAAATCAGTCTTGTGAGTTTGGGTAGTGACAGATTTCTATTGCCTGCTCATCTCTGCATAAAGCAATACACTGGGACAAGGGATCTCTAAGGCGGAAAAACATGCTTTAAACCCAAGGTGAAATTTCCTCTGTGAAGTGCTAACTAGTTAATAAAAAGCAAAATGTCACAAAACTTAGCTACAAAGTACTAAATAAAGTGGCCAGATAATTTTTCTAATTTTTAAGTTTAAAAAGTATGAGGAAAAACTACAAATAAAAATTGACAATATGCAAGGAGATGCAATATACATACAGCATAGGATCTATAAACATAACATAGTATCATAAGTTCGAAAACTGCTAGAAAAGATGGTAAATAAGAATTACTGTGAAGGTCATTCCAAGATCTTTACAAATGATAAATCATTACATCACACACCTGAAACTAAAACAGCATCAGTTTGTACACTGATATTAACTTAATAAAAATTTTTAATGAATTTTAAAAGGATTTATGTGCTATGATTCTAACAAGTCTATAAAATATGGGTGGCCATGTATACTGCTTTGTAGTATACATGTAAGTAGCATGTATCCTCTGAATAAGCAGACTTTGTAAACTCACATGTTTTAGCTAATGTTCATGGAGAGGAAAAATCACCTACGTGATCATATGTCTAAATTTCTAAACAACTTTAACAAGAATTTGAAAGTAAAACACAAACTAGAAATATTTTTGCAACATACACTTATGGGACATTAAAAAATACCAATCAAAACACTATCTCCTAAGAATGACTAGTTTGATTTGATAACCAGGTTATTTTTCACAGAACAAGTTATTATTTTTTACCAAGTTGTTTCACCAATCATGAATTCACAAAAAAATGACAGAAAAAGAGGCTGCTAAAAAAAAAAGTCTTCAAAAAGCAAAAAGCCTATTTGCACTGTATTTTGCTCTGTACAAATTATCCTAATGCTTGAAAACTAGCATATGTGGTTGTATGTTAAGTGGGAAAAACACCTGACAATGGTGGACTCTAGTCTAGAAGATGACAGTTAGGTGGCAAGAAACAGTGTCAAGCAATCCCTCCTCCTTCACTGGGTACCCTCAAAGGAACAGATGAATATTTCACACTGTTTTTTCACTGGATACACTACAAATGGCACAGGAGAGTTCACAGTAGAGAGTGAAATCTTTCTGTTACTCTGATCTCCCTTTTCCTGCTACAAGGAAAGCAGTTACCAACAGCATTTTACATCCTTCCTGAGGGACACATATTAATGTATTTTTACATTTACATACTTTTACTTCACTTATACAGACAGGAGTGAACTATATGCACCTGAGTAACTCTTTTTTTAAACTTAAATCCTATAGCTCATTCTAAAACCTTATTAACACAACCATCTTATTCTTTAAACAGCTGCACTGTTTTCTTTTCATATGAGCACATACTTTGTCTTCAGAAGAAAAACACCTGATTTGCTTCCTATCTTTTGTCATTATAAACAATGGTGCACTACACTTTCTGGCACATTTTCATTTCATACTTGTGCAAGCTCATCGGACAGAATCCTAAAACATATATATGTAAAGAACATAGCGATGTTAGCCTTGTTTAAAGAACTCTCAAGGTAATTCTTGGTTTTCTCTTTTTCAGTCGTTTTTCATCACTCCATCTCCCTCACCAGTCCTAACCTTTTCATCTTAACTTCATGGTTTAGGAAACTTCTTCCCAACTTTAGGAAAACTCTTTTTCACAGTATAAAACTCATTAACATGTCTATGGCGCCCAGAAAACTAATTTGTTATTGCAGTTATTTAATTCTAAATTCTTATGAATTACGAAATTTCATTAAATTGTTTAAAGTATTAGTATGAGACAACCAGCAAAGCATTACTTAACCAAAAGCAATTCTTCTTGTCATCTATCATTTGTGCAATAGTTGTTTTTTTATCTCCTCTGTAATTGTTGTAGCAGACCTTTAAAGTAATTCTCCTAATTTAACAGTTATTTTTTTAACAATATATTTCTCCTTTTTTTTTTTAAAGATTTATTTATTTGTGCATACAGAACTGGGGTACAAGCCATAGGTGCAGGGGCGGTGAGAGGCTTCACCAGAGACAGAGTGGGGAGCAGACCAGGCAGATCGAGGTATACACTGCTGAAGGGAGCAGCGGGCGGGCCAGGAGAGGTCTGCTGCACCATGTGGGTCAGCACCGGGGCGGGGGATTGAACTCGCACTGAAGTAGTTGCCGCGGGTTTGCAGTGCTGCGTCCTAACCCTTTGCATCACAGGGAGGGCCTAACGAAGTTATTTTTAGAATAGAGCAATATACTTTAATTTGGTGAAAGAATCATTAACTTGGTGCTGCAAAAATATATCCTTGCTGTGTAAAAATAAATAAAAAACAAAAAAGTTGTTCTCTTAGATAGTAATTTACCAAGGCAGGCAGTAATAATGGCAGTGACTAGACTTGGGTCTGCCTGAGGCAGGTGGCTGTGACAGGTGGCTTAATGGGGATAAACTGTCAATTCCTTCAATTCTCCCGACTGTGGCATAGTGGCTCAGGCTGGGAAAGTCGAGCTACAAAGGCTTGAAGCCACACTGCAGGTGAGCAGCACCCTCACTTAACATTAGCCAGAATTTTTACATAATCAAAGGCTTATCATGGATCACTAGGTGGTTTAAACCTCATTTAAATTGTTTGATTGAATATGAAAATGCAATTAATGTTCAGAGTAACCTTAGATCATTCAATTAAGGAGGTAGGGGAGAAAATCTATATTTGTATTAGTATATTTGGTGACCAGTGATTTATAAAGAAGTTGGCCTATGGTATCACTTCATCGTGAAACACATGCTTAAGTGAACTGAGAGCTCAAAAGGAGTATCCTGACAAGGTTATCTATATATGAAATGAGTTTTATTGTCTTATTTTACAAAATGTAATAGGTGAAGCTTTAAATCTGATGCACCCACTTGGGATGCTGACATAAAGTATTTACAGATTGTGTGGAATATACAAAATGCACCTTGGTAATTGTTCCCATATATTAGTAGATAAAGTTTTGCTGTGAGCACCTCTGCCAGCCACCACTCCCCCGCACTACACCCACAGGTACCCTGGAATTCAAGCTCCACATCTGTGAGGGAGCCGCTTCCCACACAGGCAACCTGAATCGTGCGCACCAAGATGAGTAGCCGAGGCGTACTGTTTGATCACATGCAATGATTCTCCTAAGTAGCGCTGGGGAGGTCAGATAATACCACAAAATGACCTACTGTTAACAAAGACATACATACTATTTCCTTCTCCAAAATTTTACCAAACCAAACTTCCCCTTCCCAAATAGTATCTATCATATACTCACTTCTTTGCCGCTTTGCTAAATTCCCAAAACACTTACGATACCAGTCTCTCTCAGCAGCTACCAATACTTTCAATTGTCAGTCTGCATAGTAGGTATGCTCAGCCAGCACAAGTCAATATGCAATAGAAATTAATGTTGTTTCTATATAATAGAAATTAATGTTGTTATAGACTAGAATAATGAATTATACTAATAAAATTTCTTAAAGTTCTCAGATATCTTTTTGAACATTTAAAATTTTGAAATATAGCCTACAAAACTCCCAGAAACAGAAAAAAAAAAAAAAAACATAGTGTGAGGCCCCAGTGGCTGCATGTTATTCTACAATGTTTTTAAGGAAAAGTTAATTTATCATGACTTATATGATTTTCCCCTCATGTTAAATAAATACCAAGGGTAGAGAAAAATTAGTTGCATTAAGGTGAATATATAAAAGAAAATCCAACCAGCTCTCACCAGTCACAAAACATACATTTCTTTGCATGTATTTTCCTTTTTCTTACTATTATTCTCATATTATTATCAAGTGCACATAAAACATTAAATAGGCTTCTTAATCTCAAAAAAAATGTATATGTCATGAAATAGACTAGAACAACATAGGAGCATAATTAAAAGTACGTTCTTAAAGCTGAAAGGCACAATTTCTAAAGATTCCAGTTTTTAAAACCAAAGTAAAGTTAATTTTCATTATTTCAATTTTGGTTAAGATGATAAGAAGATATTTAACTCCATTCTTTCCTCTAGAAAAAAGCACTAGATATCTAAAACATCTAAGACCGTGTACAGCTATTTACAAAGAGAACAAACTAGAAATGCTTTCCTATTCCTGCTTTTCCCATATGAAATAACTCTTAAGTCACCTTTTGTATGTTCAGGTCCTCCTCTGTCCAGCCTGCCCTTGGGAACCTCGATCCAAGTCAATTAAGCTCCTCCCTCTGAAAATCTGATTTGAGTTGGGAGAAGGGCAGCTAAGAGAGGTGTCAGTCATCTAAAGGCACAGCCTGTGAAAGAAAGACCGGTTCTGGCTGTAGAGATCCCACTCTACAGTTTGGTATCCTGCTCTTTGTTCAAATAAATTCCCATGTTGTTTAAATTAATCTCCACTGCTTGAAAACAAAGAATTCCAATGATTCATAAAACAACATACCCAGCTTCCTAAAGTTCACACCTTGCACCAGTAAGGAGTATCAAAACTGTTGACCTCTAATTTTTTAATATCTATGCTGCCAGGGATACAACCCTACACAGTACTGTAGGGCACAGGTGACACAGTAGTAATTAGCCATTTCAGCACTGTTCTGTTTTACCATGAGTCCTTTTCCTTTCCAATTTGATATTAACCTGAAGGAAGTCAAAGCTGAACCATAGGTCATGAAGAGTACGTTTGTATCATGAGATACTGTTAATTATCATGGGATAAATATACTCCAAAGGTCAGGGGATATTAAAGTCCGGAAAAGAATGAATGATAGTCTGCTTCCAAAGTGGCTGTTAACTTGACATGGTAACTCTCCTCTTCCCCCAGTCACTCCACCACAGCCCCCCACCACACACACTGGGAGAGGCTTTCCTGTCTGCTAAGGGAGGTCGAGGCACTGAGCAGCCAGCCTCTTGACAGTTGGAAAACCTGACACAACTGTGTCTCTTTTCCAACAGCAGAGGCTCAAGAGTAGGAGGCTGACAATCTCCAGCCCCAGCCAGCCCAAAGGCATTTTCCCGGCCACGAGGGCTCTAAACTTACGTGTCCTCTACTTATCCTTTTTTCTTTCAATCATGAATATGGGACTGTAATTATATAGCTGAAATGAGTATCATTCAGAGTTACCGCTACGGCTCAGAGCGGCAATGCCCCGACCCGAGCTGTTGACCGATTCTAACCACCGAAACTAGAGTCTCTATTTCTTGCCCATCATCTTCGAGACTCTTAGGAACTCAACCTTTTGAGTCAATGCTTATTACTTGTGCTGCTTTCTTGGTGAAAACTAAAACCTGCCTCTCTCTTGCCAGATGAAACACTTCACTATTTGCCAAAACTAAAACACTTGTCAATTCATCTCAATAAAGTATAAACAAGAATGACTGTTCCTTCAGTAAAACAAATACAGCTGCAATTACAATTTCAAAGTAGAGTAGGTTGTTACTGACAGTAACTTGATCAAATTAAAACTACTCAATAGTAACCAGACTCACCAGACAGGAAAAGAACACACATACAGGTTACACTGACATTTCTTTTTAGCAGATAGGCAGTGCAGCAGGCTTAAAGATACTCAATGTACCGCAATTAAGGCTACTTTCCAGTTTCATATATAGAGAGAAATGTCACACGAAAGATGAAAATAAAAAAATAAAATAAATAAAAACCTGTATTTTATAAATTAAGTTGCCATTATGAAACAATTTCTCACACTTAAAGTAAAAAAGGGGTTCCTAATGAAGAAGCTTTAAATTCTAACAAAGTCCAGTGAACACATTCACTAGCAATGGTCACAGAAAGGCACATCAGACAGGCAAGCAAAAAAAGTGGGAAAAACCAATGTGATGCTGCTCTCTGTAAATGATTGATAAAATTGCATCAAGTATTACATTTATGATAACATTTTCTTAAAAACAACTGAGATTGAACTGCAGTCTAAGTCAAAATGCTTTGTCATGAATAAGATTTTTTTCCTTAAAAAGCTCCTTATAAAAGTTTGATCCAGACTAAGATCCCATTTAGAAAAATTTCATGGGCCTTCAGTTTTCTCAAGAATTCTACTACACTGACTCACACCTAACTAAAGACTGGATCGCTGCAAAGAACCACCCGACCTGTCCTGGAGCCGCCATCCCCCAGGGCGCCTCCCTGTTTCCAGTTCTCAGTTGCTCTCATCAGGCAATGTCCCCTTTTCCACAGACAAAAACATTCTAACAGTCACCAACCCTCAACTTATTGGTGAGAATTTAGTGAAACTATTCAATGATCTACCCATTTCCACCAAAACTAAAGAAGCAGAACCATGCTGATGAGAAACCAAAGAGGTGGACTCATGTAATTAAAAATAATTATACCTAACGTGGAAACGAAGATCTATCACTAGTATGACAGACTTAGATAGGGAACTTGCAGTTTAAGCTCTATTACCTGAGAACATGGTGAGGAAATACAAACAAACAAACAAAAACAAATACCAGTTGTCTTTGTTTTTGATACAAGAGATACAAGAGATACAAGAGATAAGATTTTGCACTATTAAAATCTTTGACCATATGGCACAAATCAGAAACACTAGTTAAAATACTAAATAACAAATATTAATCCCAGTAATGCTAGGAATTCCACTTTAACTCACCAACAGTCAACTAAATTGCCCAAGTAAGTATAATAATAATTTACAGGAAACTACTACATACAAAGAAATCTCTAGGGGTGATCCAACCCAGCCACACAATAAATATTTTGAGTCTTTATTTCCTCTCTGCCTCAACATAATACTAGGTGCTATGGGAAAAACTAAGGAGGAACTAGCCCTCTTTTTGAGAAAACTGATTCAATCAAGAATAGCACACACTGGTATATAGTTAAGTACTTGGGAAGTGGTATAAACTATGTAAAAAGCAACTCTGACCATAAGAAATAGCCAGTTATAAACCCAGAAGAATATTTGACCTTAAATACTAATGCTTTTACCATCTTCAAAATTGTGGGAAACAGAGTGGAAGATCATTTGAGCTGTATAAGGGCAGACATTAAATAACACTGGAGTTACAACATTTTAAATTATATTTCAGCCTTTCTACTTTCAGCAGAAAGTGGGTTTGCCGGCCTGGCTTTCATAGGTCTTCAGATAGCGGGCTTTGGAGCTCTCAGCAGAGACCAGCAATATCTAGCTACAAATTAACATTTTATCATAACGGTTACTTTTGTATATGCCAAGTAGCAAGATGCAGTTTTCCTTCATAATTAGTCGTAGTGAATTAGTCTTCATACTAATTTTAAAATCTTGAAGAAAAAAACAACAAAGAAAGGGAATGCTGTTCTAGCTTTCCTGTCACTGTAACCAAAACTACCAAGCTTTCTGTTTCCAATCACAATAAATAAGCCCTGGCTAAGGCCCGACATAAACTGCAACTGTTAAAACCTCTAGTTTCTAATCAACAAAATAAAAGATGTATCGGAAACTCATATAACATCAATGATCAATGATACTGCAATAAACCAACAGCAAAACAAAACAAAGGAAATGGTTTACTTTGAGGTAACTTGGGGAGGATGGCAGCCAGTCTCCCCACAGCTACAACTGTGCTGGCAGCAAGGGCAGTCCTAGCCCTGCAGCTCAGCCCTGTAAACCCTACCTACGTCACCTAA